GAAGGAGCTTGAACTCACGCCTCTGCAACCTCTGAATGCTGGCTTTCTGTTCATCTGTAAAAGTCACACCTGGCACAGTCCCAGCACACAGTAGGCTGGCTAGTGGATGTATTAGAGCCGTCTGTGTGTCCAGAGACTGCAGAGCTGAGAAATCCCAATGCCAGCTTAAATTATGGAACAAAAAGATGCCTACCTCCCCTCTCCCAGCCCTGTTTCACAGATGACATGACTTACAGGTCAGTCATCCTTATTGTCAACCTGGCACTGAGTTCTGATTTTGGCCGTGGTTGTAGACACTAAGCAAGTCAGCAGAACTGTGGAAATTGCACCCACAAACCAGGTGTTTGCCTGCCAATAGCAAGTGACAACAGGGCAGCTACTGCTATCCTAGAGAGACTGAGTTTCCATGCATAGGAGCCCAGTGCCATGTGTGCAACCAAGTGAAAGGAAGGCCAATCTTCTCACAGTCCCAGATATTCTTCAGAGAGTTGGCTGCTTGTGCCAAGTTGCTTAGTTGCTTTACGGAACACCTCACCATGTCTGAATGCATCCTCAAACTCCAAGCTCAGGTTGTTTTGTTTATATGAATGATGTAAGTTTTTGTGCCTTCCAAAGAATCTCCTTTGACTCACTAAAGGAGCTCCAGTCTTTCCTTTTCATCTAGAGTTAGCAAAGGTTTCCTTCAATGAACCCCATGCAGCCTTACTCAGCTGCCACAACATGCATTTCTCAGCAGACTGTTGCACACACAACAGAAATACCCTTGGCAAACACCAGCTTGGGGGAGACAAAATTCACTCAAGGAAACAAGAGCAGGTCAAAAGCTGGCTTTCTCAGCTATGGTACTGTGCATCTTTGGGCTGGTTAATTTTGCTGTGTGCCTATTCCGTGCATTGCAGGGTGTTAACAACATCCTGCCCTCTTCTCATTCAGTGCCATTATCAACCCCCATGACCTCACTGTGACAACCAAAATTGTCTTCTGACCCTCACAAGTGTTCCCTGGGGCAAACCCATCCTCACTAAGAACCTCTGGGCTACAGTCCTGGTCCCCACAACTGCTCTCAATCATTTCACCTGGAGGGCTTGTGCTCTCCACCTCCTGAGCCACACCCAGAGTTCCAGAATTGCTGGCCCAAGGTAGAGCCTAAGGTGCCTAGGGGGTGCGTCTGGTTGGCACGGCTGTTGTTCCTGTGTTCCTGTGTCATTGTGATCCCTAAGTCAGCCGTTCCCAGATTAGCTGCAGGTTAGAATCACCCGGAAATCTTTCAACTCTTCCAAACAGTGAAGAGTAGGCTTTGCTATTATTATTATTTTGAGCTCCCCAGATCATTGGAATGGACAGGTCTGGACACCTCTGCTCTAGACACCTTTACCTCGTCTGTGATGTGAAGATTTGGGACTAAGGGACATGAGCTCCCAGCACATGCATCCTCTAGGGCTCAACAGCAGGGCTAATCGTGAGCACTCCTCAGGACCAGGTACTCCTACTGTCCTCACGTAGGGAAAGGGGGCAAACACAATTACAAATAGGAACACTAAACAGGCTGCAGCTCCCCTAAAAGCGGTACCATGAGAAGAGGCAGCCCTAGGAGGAAAGTGGGAAGATTCTGGAGGTGCTCTGTGTAGGAGACAAATGTCACAGTTTCCATGTGAACTTCCCCAGGGACCTCACCAGGCTTCTGAGCCCCAGCCTGGAGAACAAGAAGGACACAAAAGAAAGAAAAACACCAACAAGAGACAGAGATTCCTGATGGAGGCTGTGGATCAGGTCAATGTGAGGTGAGTACACAGTGGGAGGTACAAGAGATGGGCAGTCACTCAACCCCTGCCCTGTGCCCTGTGCTTGCAGCCCCAAAACTGACCACCATGGGAAGTCACGGAAAGGCAATTCCATAGCTTCTCTTCTGTCGAACTCCCAGCAGTTAGAGTCTCTGGCCATCTAAAAGGTGACTTTTTTTTTTTAGGTTATCACTGCCTTTCCCATAGAGATATATCCTCAGTTGAAAAATTAAGTTTGTGCTTTACGAAAATCAGCCAAACTGTAGGAACATAAAATATAATTGAATCATAACAGGAGAGCCAGAGGGTAAAAAGGAAAGTCTGGTGCTGGATATAACTCCCCACCCAGAATCGATCATTTGTGTCCAGGACTCCTTCCTTTTCCTTCATTCTAGAGCACTTCAGTGCCGACTATTGCCATTTCTGATGTGGGCATGCTGAAAGACACTGGGGTAGAAACACATATTCTCTTCCTCTGAAAGACAGTGAGAAAGAAAGCGAACCCACCTAAATATGATTCAGAGACACCCCATGCACACATATGTACACACAAAATGTACATGTAAACTCACACATACATACCTGCACAGGCACACATCCTACATTCATTGCAATCCTGAGAAACTGCCATGAGAAGAAAACTCAACAGTGCCAAGACAACTGAGGAAACATTTCTGAGATCATGCACCAAGGCACCGCCCTGCAGAGCGGGTGTTGGGTGCAGATGGCCAAGGCAGAGGGCAGCGACAGAGGTGGTGATGTTCCTTCTGGTAAGCGTGTTTCTTTTGCCTGCTCACCACACACACTTACAGTCAGTCCTCCAGCAATGGCTGAGGCCACTGTGTACCACATTGTATGCAGAAGGTCACAGAAAGCAGGAAACAGTCCCTTGCTGCAAGAAATCTGCAGTCTACATGGAGAGATTCCATGTGCAGCAGAGGAACCCACCCAATCACAACAAACACTCCCCTCTCCTAAAAGATCTCTAGGAGGGAGAGGCTAGGGGACTTTTGCATGGAGGTATACGTGTGGATTGTGTGATTATTGTGCAACACACATTTGCTTAAATGAGGAAAGGAAGAGTTCTGATGTTTATTGTACACCTGTTACAGGAAAGGCACAGCATCACCATTCTCACTCAATACTCAGGATAACCCTGAGAAGTGGACACGAGGATCTCTTTTATAGGGCCAGGCAGAAGCTGGGGTTATAGTGGTAACAGTACTGATACTACTAGCAGTTCTTCCCAAATGGCACATGGCTCCCCCCAAGCACTCCACATGCATTAACCACTTGGTGCATCCAACACCCCTAACAATTTTCAAGATAGAGAAACTGAGGCTGAGGGGCCTGTCCAACCAAATAGTTTGGAAATGGTGGAGCTGGGGCTTCTACCCCAGCAGCCAGGCTCCAGAGAGTAGGTGCTAAATCTTAGTACTTTAAGTTGGGTAAAGCCAGAAAAGAACATTCAGCGAAATAAAGGTCAAAATATTACAGACATCAAACAGGTGGCTCAGAGGAGAGGGGGAGAAGGAAATGAAATGATGGGGAAGGTGACAAACAGGATGTAGAGGTTCCCAACCAAGGGTGACTGTGGCCTGATGGGGACATTGGGGGATGTCTGGAGACCATTTTGGTTGTCATAGCCAGAGGGTTTCTATTAGCATCTAGAAAGTAAGGCCGTCGGATGCTGCTGAATACCTTGCAAGGTGCAGGACTGTGCATGAAACCACCCACTGCAAAATGCCAATTGCACCAGAACAGTCAGAGGACTTTGGATCTTGCCTAGAAAGTCAGTGTTTGTTGATCCAAAAATAATTAAATGGAAGCGTTTTCTGCACAAGGCCCACACTCCTCAATAATAAAATCGTGGTGGGGGAAGGTGTTGGACACAAAATCCACTGGTTCTGAGTCATCTGAGACACCAAGCAAGACATGCGCCTACAAGGAGCCCAAACCAGAATGATGCAAGGACATTCTTTTTGGGAAAATATTTTAAAATGAACCTGGGATTTTGCCTTCATTCAGATATGGTGAGGGCAGCAACTCGGAAGACAATGCCATGGAGATGGTTTGTCAGTCAGGGCCCCTAAGAGGAAGCAGCATGGCATGCCACACAGGCTGCATGGGAAAGCAGGAGGGGCAGTCAGGAGGCAGAAGAGTGGAGACGCGGCAGGCAAAAGCCTGTTCTGTGGTTTTCACAGTAAGGAAGGGAGGAGTGAGGACAGTGTGACGATGTTGGCAGGTTCTGGGCTATATGGGGTGACTGAGGGCAGGGGTAGTGTCTCAGATGGCAGGAACCTAATAAAACAAGGCCTAGAAATGATAAACGTTCGAGGAGAGGAAAATACTAGCTACCTTTATTCGAACGTTGCACACTGATACATGTATAGATTTATACTATGCCTCTTTAACATGTAAAAATATCACGGTCATTTCAAGAAAGTTTAAGTTAAAACACAGGGGGAAAGGAGGCAGGAAGGTGCGGTTGGTATGGGATCCATCAGATTGCACATGCAAGGTACACTTGCAGAGGGCAAGTTTCTGCACCTGAGCACAGAAGTGCAAGGCTGAGACTCCAGAGAACCAAGGCAACAAGAGGAAAGTGGCACAGCACGAGTCTTCCAGCTGGTAAAATTCACCTGCTGGCCCGACACAATGATTCCACCTATTTTTCTAAGATGTATTGTATTCATTATAAAGGCAAAGTGAAGTGACAGAGAGAGGGAAAGACAGAGAACGAGACATTCTATATTCTGGTTCACTCCCTAAATGGCCACAATAACTGGGACTGGGTTAAGCAGAAGCTAGGAGCCCAGGATTCTATCCCGTCTCCTGTGTAGGAGTCAGGGACCCAAGTAATTGGGTCACCTTCCATTGCTTTCCCAGGCACCTCGGCATGGAGCTGGATCAGAAATGGGGTAGCCAACACTCAAAGCAATGCTCAGATGTGGGATGTCAGCATTGCAGCATCAGCTTAATCTGCTGTGCCACAGCACCAGTCTCCAGATTCCATCTATTTGTGAGAGAAATCTACCACCTAGACCCTCACATAAATAAGACTTTCAACAAAATAATCTGCATGTTTGTGGGTGTAGTTTTCCAATTAGGCATAAGAACAAGGGTTTTAATTTTTATTTGTGCATTCACTTGCTTATTTAAGTACCAGAAATATCACTGCATATTTTACAAAACTCAGAGCACTATAATATGCTGTTATTTCTCTAGCTTTTGGAAGTGGAAATTTAGGTCACTGGTTTTCACTGTCTCCTCTTTCTAGCCCACACATGAAGTTATAAATTTCCCTCTGAGCACTGCTCTGCTGCAATCATGTTTTCATGTAATTTTTCATTACAAAATAATGTCGACCCCACAGAAATGCACAAGAGCATCTCAGAGGACTTCTGCTGCTCTTGTCAGGCTCTCCAGCCATTGACCTTCTGCATCTTCATCCATCACCCCTCCCTGTCTCTGAGTGACTATTTTTCTGCCCTTTGTGAGCCGGTTCACTTTCCTCCCCACAGTGAGGATTGGCAGGAAGTGGGCAGACAGCCCTGGAACTACTCCTCTGCCTCTGGCTTTGTCCTGACCAGCCTTTTTAACAACAGTCAGATGCACCTGTTCCTCTTCGGCATGGTAGTGTTGATCTACCTCCTCGCCATGGCCGGCAACACCTCCATGGTCCTCCTGATCTGGGCCGATGCCCGGCTCCACACACCCATGTACTTCCTTCTCAGCCAGCTGTCCTTCCTGGACATCTTCTTTACTTCAGTCACTGTCCCCAAGATGATAGTGGGCTTCCTCTTTGGTTGGACGAGCATCTCGTTTGAGGGCTGTGGGGCACAAATGTTTTTCTTCATGTTCCTGGGAGCTGCGGAGTGCCTCCTGCTGGCCCTCATGGCCTATGACCGCTATGTGGCCATTTGCAACCCTCTGCGCTACCCAGTGCTCATGAACCGCCAGGTCTGTCTGCTCATGGTTGTGGCCTCCTGGCTTGGAGGGTCCCTCAATGCCTCTATCCAGACCTCTATGACCCTGCAATTTCCCTACTGCGGCTCACGGAAAATTGCCCACTTCTTTTGTGAAGTGCCCTCACTGCTGATGTTGGCCTGTGCAGACACCGAGGCTTACAAGCAGGTGCTCTTCGTGACCGGGGTGGTAGTGCTCCTGGTGCCCATTACATTCATCACCATCTCCTATGCCCTCATCCTGGCAGCTGTGCTCCGAATGCACTCTATAGAGGGGCGTCAGAAGGCCCTGGCCACCTGCTCCTCCCACTTAACAGTTGTCAACCTCTTCTATGGGCCCCTTGTCTACACCTACATGCTGCCTGCACGCTACCACTCACCTGGCCAGGATGATGTAGTGTCTGTCTTCTATACTGTTCTCACGCCCATGCTCAACCCTGTCATCTACAGCCTCAGGAACAAGGAAGTGATGGGGGCAATGAAGAAAGTGCTAGCAAAGGGCAGGGTTAGAACCAGGGAACAGGGAGGGCTGCCACTGTGCTGCAGCATACCAGCGGCCATTTGCTAGGTCAGTATCCCACAGGTGCAACAGTGCAAGCCCTGACTTCTCTACTTTCAAACCAGCTCCCTACTAACGCACCTGGGGAGGCCCCTGCCCCCATGCAGGAGACCCCATGGAGCTTCAAGCCCTGGCTTTGACCATGAACCAGTGGATAGAAGATCTCTCGCTTCTTCTTCCCTCTCCTCCTCTCCCTCCCTGCCACTCTCCTCTTTGCCTTTCAAATAAAAACATTAAATTAAATTAAAAATCAAAAAACCAGGAGAGAGGCTGGAAACAAACACTTCAGTCCTCAGTTCAGTCACATGCACGGGTACAGAGACAGAAGATCCTCCGTGACTCCAGAATCCTGTTCTAGGATTTCCGACCTGAACAAGAAGCCAAGCCCCAAGTCCACGTGCAGAGAAGTAAAAGCGGTAGCCCTGCCTCCCTTCAGTCACCATCCTGCTCCTTCCTCAGAGTTATCCCAAAGACCTGAATCCACCCTTACTCCTCTCCATCAAGAAACTCCAGTTGAGTTCAGCTTCAGCCCTCCCTTGAGCACTGCAGTGTAGCTCATAATTTTGGTACAATGGATGCACAACAGCTTCCCTTCTCAACACAAGTAAAATCCAAAGGGCCCTAAAAGCCCTTTATCCCTGATCACTTCCCCAATCTTCTTTCCTAGCACCCTCTCCTTCTTCACTCTCCTCCAGTCATGCCATGAATGAGCTACTGTTGCTCAACATTCCTAAACACATTGCAATTTCAGGGTCCTTCAACACAGAGACACTAGGCCTGGGGGCTTTCTCCTTCACTTCATTTAGGAACCACTCAAGTGTGACCATATGGATTACTCTGTCCAAGAAGGCATTCCAGCCCCATCCGACCAGTTTCCCCCAATCCCATTTATAGATTTATCATTTATTTTCTCCATTATAATGCTCTGTTCAGGAGGGCCAAGGCATTGCTTTGTAAATGCTGTATTCTGGGCTCTGAGAAGCATGGCTGGGACATGAAGTCTAACTAATAAACACTTGTTCAATGAAGAGATGATTTCAAAGAATATTTTCTTAAATAATCCTAACAGTACCAGTTATATTTTTAGCTTATCCTTCTTGAAAATCTTCTCTCGTTGGCAGTGACACCATGTTCCTGGTTTTCCTCTTACCACTGGTCTACTTTTTCCTACTAAGTGATGAAGGTCTTCCCATTTCTCTGCTAGACACTTCTCTTCTCAGCCCACACTCTCTCTGGTCTATCCCATTCAAGTTCATGGCTTCACTTCACTTCTGACACCAAAGTCAGTCATGCAGAGAGACCAGCCAGATGTCTCCTCCAAACTTCTCACCACGTGCCCGACTCCACATCAGTGTGCCTACTGGATGTCTCAAAAGCATTTCAAATCCATCATGCCAAGAATCAAAGTTCTAACCTCACCTTCAAACTCAAGCCTAGAGCTGGTAACCAAGTCAATGTCCTGCAAAGTCAACAGGTTTCCATCACCTCCCATAGCTGAACCCTTGCCAAGTCGTATCCATGCAAATGCCTTCCTTTCCATAGGGTGCACTCCTCAAGAACACTGCCACTCACACCATGATCCAAATATTCCTTACCCAAATGATGCAAGAATTTCTAGTCATTCCTTACACTGGGATGATGTGGGAATTTCCAAACAGGTCTTCCTGCCTCTTTTCTTTCCTCACCCTCACATATACATACACAGCTTATTTTCCAAGAAGTAATCAAAAGGATCTCTAAATACAAATCTAAATGCATGTACCAACCCTACTCCTTAACCTTCACTAAATCCCTTTAACATGGTTCTAACCAAACATCGCTAGCTAATATACCCTGACCTCAGAATCAGCATTTTAGTCATTCTGGTCTGGTTGAAAAGCCCACAAGAGCATTTCAGGCATGGAAAGCCAAGACACTATGGCAAAAACTGTCCTACATGAAGGACCTCACTGAGTGAGACCCCAGAGGAAAAAAATGGTCATCAAAGAAGGAGGTACTTTTCTCTCAAGGGAGAACTCCCGCTTTGCTTATGGCCTTGTCTAAACACTAACAATTTGTGGATTCAAAAGGCTTCCATAGCCTAGGCAGCTCATGTCAAGAGCCTCGGATGATCACTGACATCATACACAGGAGTGTTAATTGTTAAATTAACAATAGGAGTCACTGTGCACTAACTTCCCATGCAGGATCTGTGTCCTCAAAGAGTTATAATTGAGAATTAACAGTAAAACTTGTTCTCAAAGCTTTATTTCATTTCAGTGTATTAAGTGGAAGATATTCTTTGTCTCATAAGTTTTTTTTTGAGTTTTAGAAGAAAGGAATTTAGTTAGTAATTACAAACATTGCAAAAGCAGAAAGAACACTCCATCTAGACTTAAAAAATGGCTCTTAAAGGCACACCACTTTTTTTTTCAATAATGATGATAAGGTAATAATTGCTCAACTCCATGAAATTGCCAACAGATACACCATGCATTTTCTATTAAATCTCTGATTGAGATTTGATTTGATGAACACTTGTAACAAGCCAAGGGGACTTGAAGAAGTCCCTATTACCAATAGGTAGGGTGGAAGGAATGACTTGCAGGATTGTCCTCTGGATGGAAAATAAAAGAACTATTGCAGCTATATGATCATCACAGCATTTCTAGTCCAGTCACTATGGAACCTGGATAACTGTTCATCCTGAGTATATCCTGAGGTCTGAGATGAATGTAAATGTAAATGAGATGATGAAAATCCAAAAAGGTCTGTGAAAACTGGGAAGGGATGAAACCATACATTTTCAACAAACTGAGAGTCTGGTAGAAGTAAGGAGTAATACAACCAAAAAGATTGTAACAAAATAAATCATTGTAAAGTTACATTAACACAAAAGTGCACTACATTTGAGTCACCACTTCTGATGCAATGGGTACCACCCAGATTTCATTCCAAGTTCTTGTCTCTGGGCAAGAAGGAATTGAAGGAAGAAAAGTAGGAAAAGGGGATAATGAATGAAAGATTTTAAAAGGGATTGTATGCTCATTAATAAAGAAAAATTCAGGAGATGAGTGTTACAATTCATGGGATTTTTTTAATCTCTCTTTTTTTTACAGAGTTACAGTGAAAGAGAGACAGAAAGATCTTTCCATTGGTTCACCCCCCAAAGGGCCACTACAACCAGAACTATGCCGATCTGAAGCCAGGAGCCAGGTGCTTCCTCCTGGTCTCCCATGCAGGGGCAGGGGCCCAAGGACTTGGGCCATCCTCCACTGCCTTCCCAGGCCACAACAGAGAGCTGGACTGGAAGAGAAGCAACTGGGACCAGAAGCCGGGGCCCATCTGGGATGCTGTGGCTGCAGGCAGAGGATTAACCAAGTGAGCCACGGTGCTGGCCCCAACTCATAGGATTTGAGGTAGTCTCTTTATGGAACGAGAATAATGTGCTGGACAACACCTATTTGAATATTCAAATTGATCTCACGTAGTGTACTCTAATCCAGATAGTGTACTCTAACACAGATGAACTGGAAATCCTCATGAGTATATAGAACACCATAAGCTCATTCCCTTTAGCTAGACACAACACCCACCATCCACTGCTGGAGTACAGTATTATGGCTGGAATATATGCTAATTGACATGCCTGTGGTCACATCACCAGTATGCACAATAATGTGGGGAAAGAACACTGGGTGGACAAAATTGCTATACAACAAATAACTTTGTAATTGATGAAGATGGGATACCAAATAACTGCTGTACTAACTGTTGTAACTTTTGGATATTTCTTTGCAAAATTTATATATGTAAGTACAGTTCATATACTTGGTCCCACTCACAATAATGGGAAACCAAAAACACAGGTTGTGTAAAGGAAGAACGGTTAACAAGACTCTGTCACAATTCATCATGTGAATTGTCTAATACTTCCTGAGGTGTGATTCCACCAAGAGTTCTTCCAGACACATTATATTTAAGGGACTTCTCTCTCTATAATCTTGTTAAATTTTGCAAAAGTTCACCTTACAATAAAGGTTTTTCCAACCACATTACAATGACAGGATTTTTCCTAAGTGTGAGCTTTCAGTTACCCACTGAGATGACTTATGATACAAAAACTTTTCGATGAATACATGTTTTCTAATTTCTGAGTCTCTTCATGTGAGCTGATGACTGATTTATGGAAGAGGAATTTCATGTTCATTAAATTGATTTATTTTCTTTATGAATTCCCCGGCATCTGCTGATGTCTAATTGCTGACTAAAGGTTTTCTCAAATTTACTGCATTTGAAGGATATAAGCTATTGTGAATTCTGTATCTATGCAGGCCTTAATTACAGGAAAATACTTTTCCACATTCATTACAATCTTAAGAAACACATTATGTGAATTCTTTGATGACTGATTTCTGACAAATGGCTTTTTTCACATTATAATATTTATAACCTTTCTCCCTTCCATGGGTCCCTGTTGTTTGGGGTATGATTTCAAGGGAACGGCTTTGTCACACTAACTACACTGATTTTGGGAAAAAGCACTTCACATTCATTATATTCTTAAACTCTCTCCCTTGTTTGACTCCCATAATGTGTTGAGGCACTGTTTCTGACAAAAGGATTTCCAACATTCATTACATTCATAACACTTCTACCTTGTGAATTTTCTGATGTTACAAGGAGCTTTCCAATACGCATTACATTCATAAGGTTTCTCTGCCATATGAATTCTTTGATTTCTTATAAGCTCTGATTTCTGGATAAAAGCTTTTCCACATGCATTATATTCAAAGGGTTTTTTTCAAATATGAATTTGATTATCTGAAATGAGGGTTAAATTATGGCTGAAGGTGTTCCAAATCATTACATTTATAATGTTCTTATGTTTGATAATGATTTGCACCAAGAGTTGTCCACATTTGTTCCATTCAAAACATTCTCCCCTGTGTGAATTTTGATGTTTGCTGAGATTTAATTTGCATAAAGAGGCTTTTCCAAAGTCATTACATAAATGAAGTTTCTCCCCTGTATGAATTCTCTGATGTATGTTGTGTATCATTGCCACAGGCTTTGCCACAGTTGTTATATTCATGAAGTCTATCTCCTGTGTGAATTCTCTAGTGTCTTATGAGGTGTGATTTATAGCAAAAGGTTTTTCAACAGTCATTACATTCATAAGGTTTCACTGCTGTGTGAACTGTGTGATGTTTGATGAGGTCTGACTTAAGGCCAAAGGCTTTCCTATAGTTATTACATTCATAGGTTTCTCCCCAGTGTGAATTCTTTGATGCATTCTGAGTTGTGAATTATGGGCAAAGGCCACAGTCATTACATTCATAAGGTTTCTCCCTGTGTAAACTGATGTTTGCTGAGGTCTGATTTGCCCAAAAGGGCTTTTATGAGGTTTCTCCCCTGTGTGAATTCTCTGATCCATTCTGAGTTGTGACTTATGGTGCAAGGTTTTTCCAGTCGCTACATTCATAAGGTTTCTATTTTGTGTGAATTCTGTTTTCTGAGATCTGATTTGCACAAAACATCTTTTCCATAGCATAAGATTTCTCCTCTGTGTGAAGTCTGATGTTTAATGAGGCCTGACTTATGGCCAAAGGATTTTCCGCAGTCACCACATTCATAAGGTTTCTCCCCTGTGTGCATTCTCTGATGTCTAATGAGTTTTGATTTATAAAAAAAGATTTTTCCACAGTCACTGCATTCATAAGGTTTCTCCCCCATGTGAATTCTCTGATGTTTGGTGAGCTCCAATTTATTAGTTATGCCTAAGTGTCCAACTCCATTGCTTGTTTCCCTAGGTGCTTCCTTAATGGTAAAACTTGTTCTCAAGGACTTACTTTCTTTTAATGTATTAAGTGGAGGAAATTCTATTGTCTCATAAGTTATAGTTATGTCAGTGCTTGTAAAAGATGTTATCATTCTTGGTGCTTCTTTAAAATTAATTAAGTTTCTAAAAAAAAAGAAGTGAAATTAACTTCAAGATGCAATGATTTTGAACAGCTCTTGTCTTGACTGTTGAGCATTTTTCTTTCTTTTTTTTTTTTTGGTGAAAATTGTTGAACCCTTTACTTAGTACAGAGTTGGTCTTCCATGTGTAAAGTTAATTGAAAATAAATCTTAGTGGAGAATGGGACTGGGAATGGGAGAGGGAAGAAGAGGACAGGTGGGTGTGTGGGTGGGAGGGAGGGTGGGTATGGTGAGAAGAATCACTATATTCTTAAAGCTGTACTTATGAAATGCATGAAGTTTGTGTTTCTTAAATAAAAGGTTTCTTTGGAAAAATAAATAAATCCCATTAGCATGGCTCTTAACATATATCACCAGCTAACATATTCTTTATTAACTTCCTGCCCACCTTCCCCCATGACAAAGTAAGCTCCATGAGGGCAAGTAGTTTTGTGCTTGCATTTCACACATAGTACAAATACATTAGTCATTAAAGAACAACTATACTATTGCATATCATATTTTCTGTTGTCTACAAAGTCCAGCAGAGCTCAGCCTCCTTGTCCTCATCTCACTCCTCCATAGTTCTCTCCCCTGCTCCTTTCTGCTTCCAGGTCATTACAAGAGCTGATCCTCTGTCTGGGATACTGCTCACTCTTCTGTGCTTAAGTACTACACATCCTCCCTTCTAAGCTCAGGTATTGTCCCCTCAAGGCAGCCATACGTGACATCCAAACGAAAGCAGATTCCTTTCCACATGTTCCCTGTTCCTTCCTAGCTCTCAGTCCCTCAATTAAATCTATATTCTCATGGTACAGTAAGCTTCATGAGAGCAGGGAGTCTATGTTTCTCAGTTTACCATATTCTATAGTGCCTGATATTGTATGGACACACTGCAGTGTCTCAACCAATATCAAAGAAAAGAAAACATGGAGGAGAGGAAGGAATGTTAGGTGGGTATGAAAGAGGAAAAAGAAGGGAGGAGGAACGGATAGTCCCTGAACACAGCCTCGGACCTCCAAAATAGGCCATGCTTTTACTTCTCCAAGGCTTGAGTGACACAAAGCAGATGCCAAAAAGAGATGCCATAATCAGTTTCAACTACCTTAATATATCCCTAACTGTGCGGGCCAGCTGCACCAGTCGAACAGAACCTGAAGGAGGGAGTGGGAATGAAAAGAGGGACAAGGGCTCAGAGAATGGAACCAAGACAACAAAGCTGATCAAGGCTCATTCATTCTAGTCTCAGCGATATTTTATACATAACTAGCTGCAGCTCAAGGCAATACAGACGTTAACAACACATGCAAGCAACTTATCGGGCTTTCTGCAGCACAGTCATAGCATAGTTAATTTTAGCAGAGTGTTCTTTTTTGATCATTCTCCTTCAACATGGGAGTACGTGACTGTCTCATCCCAGGAATTCCACAAGCCAAGATTGACCTTGACTTGTCTATGACTTGTTTATGGGCTGCCTACATCTCCCCCTTTTTTATTCAATTGAGAATGGCCTCTGTCTTAGGTTGCCCTCAGTCATCTCTGTCCTTACCCGTCATTGGTAACTCTGGCAGCTTGGCCTAGAGCCCTGTCTTAGGTTGGTACAGGATGCTGAGTGTCTTAGCCGTCTCTGAGGACCATTCCAGCTTGACATTAGGTGAGAGTAGAAATATACAGCCAAATATTAATTATTTTGATTACGAAAGAGGTTTGGTACAAAGCTTTAAATGATGAATCTCAGTCCATACAGACTGTAGCGAAGTCAGCATAAATTGAAGAACACACAGAAAACATCACATACAAAGTAGGAAAAACAGTAGCGGTCCAGCATTGTGGCACAGTGGGTTAATGCCCTAGCCTGAAGCACCGGCATCCCATATGGCCGCCGGTTCGAGACCTGACTACTCCACTTCCAATCCAGTTCTCTGCCGTGGCCTGGGAATACAGTGGAAGATGGCTCAAGTCCTTGGGCCCCTGTACCCACGTGGGAGACCCGGAAGAAGCTCCTGGATTCTGGCTTTGGATCGGTGCAGCTCCAGCCGTTGTGGCCATCTGGGGCGTGAACCAGCAGATGGAAGACACCCCTCCCCCCACCTCTCCTCTCTCTGTGTAACTCTGACTTTCAAATAAATAAATAAATAAAATAGAAACAAAACAGAAAACTTTAAAAAAAAGAAGAAGAAGAAAAGAAGAAACATGGGGAATCCTAGCTCTCTTACAGATGGGGAATGCCAAGATCTAAAGATGCAGGAAGCTGAACTCCAGAAACCACTGAACTGCAAACTTCAGGCACAGAAGATACTTCTTCCTAAGAAGAAAATGAGGGGATGGGGGGTATATGGGGAAGACTCAGAAAAGGCTAAAAAAAAAAAAATCCCTGAACAACTACCAAAACCTTCCCCAAGACTGAAGCATCTACCACCTAACCTTTTAGAAATGTGCCGCCATTTAACTCTACTCTCCTGGACCGCTTTCAGCTGCGCTCACTGCATGTTTCCCCTCCCTGCCATGGGCTCTACTGTGAATTTGAGTAAAGGTGATGGTTAAAGAGACAAACAGAGGCTGTCTGCACACACTCGCTATACAGTCACATTATTATGCTGTCCTAAGTCTTTAGGGAGGTGCCCCCACAGTTCCTCGAACCAAGAAACATCACTGTATCAGCCTACAGCTTTGTCCTCAGTGGTCTTGAGTTGACTGGGCAAACAGAGGGTTTCTCAAGGTGGGCCTTCTTCACACTGGGCCAGGTAATTCTTTCTTGCGGTTGGGAAGGGGCTGTCTTATGCGCTGCAGGATGTTTAGAGCACTGCTGGTTCTACTTGCTAGGTGTGTTCTACAGTTCTAAAAGTTTTTCATTTTGCAAAACTGAAACTGCACCCATCGAATTCAACTCCTCTTCGTCTCCTCCCCTTCCAGCCCCTGGCAGCTGCCATCCTAGTTTTTTGAACGTTCGACTTCTTTAGCTCCCTCCGCAAGTCTAATCCTGCAGCGTCGGTGTTCGTCACTGACTGACGGCATCAGCATCACGTCCTCACGTTCGGCCATGGCGGAGGCTGTGACGAGAGCTCCCTCCGCTTACGGGCCGATTACACTGCTCTATAAATATATCGCACGCTCTGCTCCCACTTACCTTTCCATAGATACTCAGGGTGCTTCCACAAAGGAGCACGGTTTCCACAACTGCCGGAGAAGCGAGGCCTCACAGCAGCCATGGGAACAGGAAGGCTTCCTACACTCCTGCACTCCCGTCCACGGGGGTCCTGCCGGCTTCGACGCCCGCGGGCGACACGCGTCTGTCCCAGGCACCGCGCGGCTGCGGACCAGCTGAGCAGGCCGGCCGGGTGGGCCTGACGAGCTCCTCCGCGGCCCACAGCCGCGCTGCGCACACTGACCCCTGAGAGGCCAGCACCGGACTTCCCAGGCACCCTCTCCTCAGGCGCTAAGGGCGGCAGGGACAGCCGGCCTCACGAAGGCGGAGGGGAACGGCGCCCGCGAGCCAGGGCTTCGAAGGCCTGCGAGCCCGCCCAGCTCTCGCAGCTCAGGAAACAGCCCTTCAGGTTCTTCCGTCACGTGGGCCTGTAGCCGCCGGAACTTCATTGGCCCAGGCTCCGAGAGAGCAGGAAGAGCCGGAAGTGACGGCCAATGGGAGCTAGCTAGCCAGCCGCGAGGCCCGCCCCCACGATTTGCGCGTGCGCAGTGTATCTGGGCAGGTTGGCGGGTTTGGGTTGGCGGAGCCGTGGCAGCAGACGGGGCGGCCGCTCGCTCTGCTGGCTCCGGCGTGGCCTGCACCTCACGCCCTGTGGAAAGGAGCCGGTGGGCGGAGGTTCCCCGGCACAGGTGGGAGCAGTCTTTCGCGAGGAGCACGCGTGGGGACAGCGAAGGGCCGGCGCCTCGCGCCCTCGCACGGCCGCGCTGAGCCGAGCAGCTTCTGTCCACAGAGCGTCGGGGCCGCGCGGCCATGCGCCCCGTCGCCATTGCGCCCCGCCTCCTGCTGGCCTGCAGCCTGGCCCTCGGGCCCCTGCTGGCAGGTGAGAGACCGGGGTCTTCCCGCCCCTCGCTCCCACGTGCAGCCGGCATCGGCGTGCGCGGCCCACATTCCCGCCAGCTCCTGGTTCCTGTGAGTGCAGGGGTCGGGAACGGGGGAGGATGGCGGGGTAGCTCCGGTTCTGGAGTTGTTCTGAGAGGGTGGGAACGTTTGCTTGCCCGCGGCAAAAGCCATTCAGTTTTCTGTCTTTTGTTTTCCTAACAGTCTCCTGGGAGATTCAGATGAGTGACCTAGAGGAGAAGGATGTTGATGAATTCAGTTCCAGTGGTTTTAAATGCCCAACTTGTATTGCAGTACAGGGAAGAAAATGTCATGTAGAATTCAAATGGTGTGCAGCAGATCAAATAAACTGTTTTGAATTCTTGGGCATCATAAACACAGGTACTTTTCTAGGAGGCGCTATTTTGTAGATGCTGAGCGTGTGACACTGTCACAACCTTACGGGGCACACAGCAAAGTTGAGGGGAAACCAGCTTTTGTACAAATAGCTTAGAAATGAGGACAGAGCAGTATCCTGACTTTGAAAATATGGCCAATTGCTTTCTCACAGTAATTGACTTATGGCTTTATACATGGATTTATTGATGGGCTCCATAGTTTTGAGGGAGTTAGTTCAACATACTGCTTAGCCTTCATCTTCTGCAAACTTTGAGTAGTTTTTGTTTGTTTTTAAGACATAGGCAATTTGTGTTTTCCTGCCTCTGGATTATTTTCATTTTCAGCGTAAAATGTTTGGAGACAGGGGATGATTGAACTTAAGCTTTCTTCAAAGGAATCAAAGGAGAACGCTTCACTATGCTCACTTAAGAAAACCCGGTACAAAATTCTAAATTAACTGAAGATATGAATGTTCTAAGTGAATGAAAACTGGTAGCATGGGATAGCTTGAAGTGCAGTGGGCAAAGTTCCGTGAGGGTTGGGTTGTTTCCACTTCCTTCTGCTCACTCTGGGGGAGCTCTGCCTTCCTCAAGTTCCTCACTGGGAGGTAACTGCTGTGCCCAGCCATGTTATTTGCCTCTTGCATCCTCATGTTTGTACTTTGCACAATTTGCCTAACACCAAGTCTTTGCTTTAAAACAACAATAGAGGTGAGGTGAAAGCATCAACAGCAGAGTCCCAGCCGTGGGAAAGATGGTGTAGAAAGGAAACACAGTCTGAACTAGGCCTTCTTCGTGGCCATTGGTATTCTTAAATGATAACTCAGACCTAGAATTAGAGAAGATTAGAAAACAGAGGCTGGGTTGCCAACTGATGGCGGGAGCTGGAAATGCATTCATCTACATAAAGCTTAGAAAATACCCCCACTATCTGATTCACTGTGAGGAGCTGTGAGAGGGTGTGAGGATTTTGAGGCCCAGTGTTTGGAGAATACCATTCCAACTCATGTCCCTGCTAGAGATAACCAGGTCACTCTTGCCACTCACACAGGAGTGTGCTTTCATTTATATTTTGATCCATACCAGTCTGGGTAAAGGCAAAGGATAAGGAGGGAGGAAGAGAGTGGAAGTCTCATGTATGGTTTCTTACAGGTATTAGCAACATGACTATTGAAGTGAAGAAGTGCATACGAGCAGAACTATGTGAAGAGAAGATAACTTATTATGTGGGTTTTCCAGTTACTAATGGGACTAGGAATTGCAAATCAGCCATCAAAAATGGGGCCAGAGGCAGACCAGCAGCTCCCATCTTCCTTGTTCTCTTCCTGGGGAAGCTGCTTCACTGAGCTCCTGCAAGGGCCCAGCCACCTGCATTTGTGAATTAAACTTGCATTGTTTGTTTATACTCGTAGATTGTTAATGACTGTTAACTTCTCCATAGGTGTATCTGTTGTGCATGCATTAACTCAGCAAGATCTAGTTGTGTACCCAGCCTCACACAAAGTCAGTCAGGGTGAAAATCAGTCAGTACTGGGCCTTTGCCTTCAGAAACTGAGGACACATGCAGGTAAAATGCTTAGAGAGCAACACATGAAGCACCAACAAGAACAGTAGGATGCTGCTCAAGTAGCCAAGGGCCATTGCTTTGGACACAAGATAGGAGGATATGGATTTGGGGAAAAGTTGAGACTTTGGATGACCTTGAGAAGACCTGCACTACATGGCAGCAGGAGTTGTATGACTTGAGACATGGAGATGGGGAAGTGGGCAGAAGCCAAGGGGCAGTAGCTGAGGTGGATGGCAGTGGGTAGTCCGTGAGTATTGGTAAATACTCCTAGATGGGCCTGACTGGATGTGTCTTTCTGTGAGCCGTGGAAGGTGCTACCCCTGGGAGCACACAGAGGACTTGTGCTGAGCAAAGGCTTGCTCTGTGGTAGAAAGCAGTTCCTTTTGCTCCATGGTCTGAAAGCGGTATTCTCTGGTTATCACCCCCTGGCTGCTCATTAGAATCATCAGAGAGCCTGAAACTAGCATCCTCATCACAGGCCCTCTGCCAGAAATTTGGAATCAGTTGATCTGGGTGTAGGCTGGTCCTACCGCCACCACCCTTTGTTTTTGGCCTTTGCTTGCTTTTATTTTAATTCCTCACTCCCAGGGTAGTCTAATTTTCAGCCACTATTTTTAAAGATTTATTTATTTATTTGAAAGGCAGAGTTACAGAGAAAGAGGGAGAGATATACACAGAGAGAAAGAGAGATCTTCTGTCAGCTGGTTCACTCCCCAAATGGCTGCAACAGTTAGGGCTGGGCCAGGCCAAAGCCAGGAGACAAGAGTTTCTTCCGGGTCTCCCACATGGGTACAGGGGCCCAAGCATTTGGGCCATCTTCCACTGCTTTTCCCAGGCCATTAGCAGGAAGTGGATTGGAAGTAGAGCAGTGGGTACATGAACCAGCACCCATATTGGGATGACAGCATTGCAGGTCATGGTTTTACCCAATACACCACAAGGCCAGCTCCAGAAGATTTTTATTATAATAAATAATATATGTAAGGTGGCAATACAAACATTAAAACACTTTGCTGATATTGTTAAAGTTACACATGGGTTTTCAAAATTTGCAATAGCTGTTTCATTATGTTACTAAATGGATGGGGTAGTCCTTTGACCTAGCAAGCAGGTAAGCCACCAGTTAGTATACCCATATCCTGCATCTGAGTTCCTTGATTCTATACCCAGCTCTGGCTCCTAATTCCAGCTTCCTGCTAACACACATCCCAGAAGGCAGCAGATGGTGGCTCAAGTATGCTGATTCCTGCCAACCTCATGAGAGACCAGCATCAGATTCCATGCTCCTGGCTCTGGCTTGCCCAACCCTCCATTTAGGGAGTTAACTGATGTATGGGAACTCTGACTCGATAAATATTGAAGAAAAAATAATAGGGGCTGGTGCTGTTGCGTAGTGGGTAAAGCCGCTCCTTGCAGTGCCGTCATCCCATTTGGGCACCAGTTCAAGTCCTGGCTGCTCCACTTCCAATCCAGTTCTCTTCTATGGTCTGGGAAAGCAGTAGAACATGGCCCATGTCCTTGGGCCCCTGTACCCATGTGGGAAACCTAGAAGAAGCTCCTGGCTCCTGACTTCAGATTGGCACAGCTCTGGCTGTTGTGGCCATCTGGGGAGTGAACAAGCAGATTGAAGACCTCTCTCTTTCTCTCTCTGCCTCTGCCTCTCTGTAACTCTACCTTCCAAATAAATAAACATCTTTAAAAACAAAAAAAAAATGATGCCAAGTAGACACAAGAATTAAGTAACTTAGTTTGGATGAATTTCACTTTAAAGTCTCATCAGGAGAGAGATGTCCACAAGATGGCAAAATAGAACAACCTTCTTTGCCCTCACACAAAACCAAATGTAGACTGCTATCCACTAATCATAATGACTCCCAGAGGCCCATTCAGAAATGCAAAGGAGGAAAAAATAGAGAATATCTACAAATAAATGGCCACTGGTGGGTTCAGCCCGCCTGAGATGCCAGGAGATGGCTAGAAACAAGGAAGGAATATGGGGGCTTTGGCGTCACCCATGTGCTGGGGACCCTAGGGTCTCCAGCAGCAGGCACCAGCATCTTTTGCTGCCAGATGACTGCTTGGGCTTGGATATGATGTGAATGAGGGCCCCAGAGTTTCATGGGCCGAAGTTTAATCCACATTGTGAGGCAGCAGGAGGGTGGAAACAGAGGGTGGCCTCTGGAACATGAGTTGGATTCGCCGAGGTCATCAGGAGTGACTGAATCCTGGTGGCTTTGTAAGAACAGAGAGACCACAGAGGACACACCAGCTGCTGGTCACTTGTGCTCCCCATCTCTCACCAGGTCATGAACCTTGGGACCAAATACAGCCCTTCGTCCTGGGGTCTCAGGATCTCTGAGCCACCATAAACCTCTGCATTAAAACTTACCCAGTCTGTGGTATTCTGCTCTTGGCTATAAAAAAGCAGACTAATATGCTCACCAACAGCCACTCCTGCCAGGGAACCCTAGCGAGGGAGACGCAGCCACCCTCCTGCGCCCAGGAGCAGCTTCAGGAAGGGAGCTGCCCCTTCTCCCGGCCCCAGCATGCGCCGACCCGCACACACCAGACTGTAGATCTGCTTAGGTAGCTACACTGGCCCAGTCCATATGGACTGGTAACGCCGACACCACAGCGTGCCCGAGTCTTTCTACCGGTGCCAGAGCTCCAGCTCCAGCTCCTGACCCACTGTAACTGCACGAGCCCACGCAGCGCGCTCTGCTCCGGGGCTGCTCGGCGGGCACCTGTGCCTTCCGCGGTGGCTGTCCATACATGGTACAGCCGCCGGTCCGTTCCATTGCTGCGCACATCCCAGAGCCGAGGTCTGGCCAGCTCCCGTGGCCACCCCACCGTGCACTGAGAGCTCGCGCCCCAGCGATACAGTCGGCCGCAGCCACTCCTGGCCAGCAGCGCGTGGCCCGGCCCAGAGCACCCTGAAAGCTCTGGCGTTGGAGCTCCAAGAAGCCACCGTGTGATCCGCGTCGGTGGCCTCCAGGACCCTGAAGTGGCACATCTGTGTTCCTTTAAGCCACAGAGTTTGTGATAATTTGTTATCACGTAAATGAAAAACAAATACAAGCTATTAAAAAAATGTTACTGCATTCTAAACGTATGCAGCCAGTGAACTGGGCAGCCTGCTTCTTTCTAGGAGACTGGGTTCAACTCTCCCAGCTGGACTGGGTCACTGGCCTCTTGGTGCCTCAGTTGCCCCATCTGTAAAGTGGTCATTGGACTTTTCTGACGCTCACCTGAGTTGATCCTGGTCAAGTGCTTAGAAGAGAGTCTGGCACCCACTCAACCTTCCTGGCATGCCAGGAATGGTCAGCGGCCCTCAGTCCAGCCCCCTCCTCCCGGGAAAGAGGAGCTGACTCCCAGGGGGACAGACAGAAGACTGCAAGGACCACCACACCACCCAGATCAGCTGCTCTGTGGCTGGAAAACAAAGAGGAGCTGGGCGTGGGACCTGGTACCATCACAGAGCTGCCGTCTCTGCTCTGGAGAAACCAGCAAAAGCGGTTAAACCACATGCTGTTCCCATATCGGGTGTCCCTCAGTCTCGGCAGAAGGGCCTGGCTAAGAGAAGCCCTCTGCCCACTCCCTGGCTTAGAGCCCAGGTGGACTACGTGTGTTCTGGATGCTCCAGCCTGTTCAAGCCAGCAGACATCCCCTCTCAGGCAGAAGACAAGAACCATGAGTCTGGGGGGTTCCTTGAGGCTGCGTTTCTTGGACGATCGAGCCACTCCTTTGGCTGGTCTCTGCTGCTCTTGCCATGAATTGAGTCAGGACTGGCTGCTCAGCGTAACGAAGCCCTTGGTCTTTCAGTGGTTCACAAAGAGCTTATCTTTTTGCTGACAGTGTGGTCCATGTAGGCATTCCTGTTTGGGACAGTGTTTTGAATGGACGCTCTAGTCATCAGTGAAGGGTTGATCTCTTTTTTTTTTTTTTTTAGATTTATTTATTTATTTGAGAGAATTATAGACAGAATGAGGGAGACAAGGAGAGAGGTCCCCCATCCACTTCCCAAGTGGCCTCAATAGCCGGAGCTGAGCCGATCTGAAGTCGGGAGCCTCCTCCAGATCCAGTGGATGCAGGGGCCCAAGCACCTGGGCCATCTTCCATTCGAACAGGTGCCCACATGGTATGCCAGCCCTGCAGGTGGAGGCCTAACCCGTGCCACAGCGCCAGCCCCGAGGGCTGATCTTACTGATACCGAGACTCAGTCCCCCTAGGGACAAGGGCCACCTTACACAGTCACCAAGCACAGAGGGCCATGCAGGAAGGACACGGTGACCCAGTCCTGGAGCCAAGCTCTCCCTTGGGCCACAGAACCTCGGTGGGCAGAGGGATGCCATCCAGCTGCATGCCTAGGGGGCTTCAGGGTGAGACCCGGCCTGGGAGGGAGAGAGGCAGCCCCAGTCTTACAGACCCACAGAGGAGGAGCAGCCTTGGGGCATTCCTTTCTTTGATGCAACAACAGGGGGTAGCTCCTGTGTGGGAAACTGCAGAAGCCAGGGTCCCTGTGAGCAGATCAAGGGTTCCTTCACTGTGGTTCAGCACTGGCTTGAGGCCTGCAAGGGCCTGCCCTGCTGAACCCTCTTCACAGGCACCATGGGGAGCGCAGCTGTGGCTGCCATGGTTCCAGCCCTGTGAGTGAGGGCACAGCTCTTTGGGCTCCTGAGGGGACCACCCCCATTCTTTGAACTTAATGCTAAAGCGACTGCCTCTGCCTGTGTCCTCCCCAGTGGCCACCCATCCCAGGGAGCAGAGGGTCGCAGAGCACATGGGGAGACTTCTACACATGAGGTGCTGAGGCGGTGGGGATGCGGTTATGCCTGGGGCTTCATGAGCTGCGAGCAGGGACCCCTGGGCTCTGAAGCGTTCTATCAGAATGAGTCTCCCGGCAACGCAGTCCAAGATTGGGAGCAGAAACCAAGAATACCAGGACAGAGGTGCATCCCGGGACGTGTGCCGAGGATGAGGGTTGAGTGACAAAGTGGAGACTCAGACTCCTGTAAATGCCAGGAACCCAGAGCCCTCGAGTGGGGCTGCTTGAGGTGAAGAAGCCATTAGAAGAGAGAGCAGGCCTCTTTTTCCTTGACTGAAGTACAAACAAGCCATCACACACACATGCACAGAAGTACCGGCTCTTTAATTCTGCCCGGAGGGGTAGACGTCGGGGAAGGGAGACATCTGTAGGGGACGTCTGCTGGCTTGAACAGGCTGGATCTGTAGGATCATGGGCTTGGCAGTGCCTGAGAGCTCACAGGAAGACTTTGAGCAGGAAGAGGCTGGACAGCATCGATGAGGTGGCAGACAGCAGGGCGGGGCCCCCACTGCTGGGGTCTATGCAGCGGGTCCAGATCTTTATGCCAGACAACACTTGTTGACCCTTCAAGTTGCAAGCATTCTCAGTGGCACAGCCCATACCGTACATGGCTAAGCCGTCAAACGCTAGGAGAAAGTCAGGAGTCAGTGTCCCTCTCCTCCGGCCGCACCTACATCCCAGGTCACTCCTGCTCCCTCTGGTGAAGACAGATGCACTCACAGTTCCCTGAAAGGCAGCAGCTATGGCTCCAGTCCCACCCCGACCAAGTCTTATTTCCTTCTGACCCCAGCGCCTCCCCAGTTTAGGAGTGGCCCTAAATAGATGCCGCTCTCTGAAGCCGGGCTGAGACTGAGGCCTTGGGGGCCCGAAGAGGGGAGAGAAGTGAGGGGGGAACAAGGCCAGAGGGCAGGTCTGGTGTGTTTGCTAAAACCGGAGGTCTGCAGATCCTCCTGCCCCTCAGACCCCTTCTCCCCAGGCTGCACGCTTCCTGGAAGGTCGGGCTAGGGGACCTGTGTGTGTGCACAGGGTGCACTTCGTGCAGAGGGTTGGGGTGGAGAGACTGTGCCTCTGCGGCAGCCCTAACCCTCGGCATCCTGAGTGATGCCCCACCTTCCTCCTCCATCGCAGCTCTTCTTGCCAAAGGGCCAGTCTCAAGCCCTCCTTCAACATTTTCTGGGGCCAGCACTGTGACATAATAGGTAAAGCCACCACTTGCAGTGCCAGCATCCCATATGGGCACAGGTTTGAGCCCTGGCTGCTCCTCTTCCGATCCAGCTCTCTGCTGTGGCTTGGGAAAGCAGTGGAGGATGGCCCAAGTCCTTAGGCCCCTGCACCCGCATGGGAGACCCAGAGGAAGCTCCTGGCTCCTGACTTTGGCTCGGCACAGCTCTGGCCATTGCAGCCAATTGGGAAGTGAACCAGCAGATGGAAGACCTTTCTCTCTCTGCCTCTCCTCTGTGTACCTCTAAATTTAAAATAAATAAATCTTTTTAAAAAGAAGTTTAAAAAATATCCATAAGAAAAGCATTAACTAGCCTTCATTCCCACCACACTCTCTTCCATCGTCTAGCCATCTCCTGAAACACCACAATTCCACAAAACATTTTAAAAGTTGGTCAGAGACAAGCAGAGACAGTGTCCCATTGAGGTGCATGGTCTAGAAAGAAAAAAGACCATGGAAATACTAGAGGAAAAATTCCTGCCTGCATGGGACACACATCCTTCACCACACTCTGAAACTCAGAACATTACTCCTATGGATTTCAGAATGACACCAGGCCAAAACTTAGGGCCTCGTCGAGGGGCTGGGAGGGGCAGTGGCAGTGACAAAGGCAACTAGAAGTGAGGTAGTGTTACCTCTCATTGCCGGTGAGCCAAGGTTCCATACCAGGCCTCAGTCTGCAGTGGGGAGCGGCAGCTGTGTGCCCCTCCACCCCTCTCCTCTGCTCCCCTGCCCTGCCCTCCTCTACCCTGCCCTCCCTTCTTCCCTTCCTCTCCTCTATTCCTCCTCCCTCTCCTCTCTTCCTCCCCTCTCACTTCCTCTCTCCCCTCTACTTCTCCCCTCTCTTCCCCCTTCCCCCTCCTGCTAAAGCGTTTCCTTCCAACCTTGGAGGGACATCCAAGCTCTCTGCCCAGCACCACCCCTTGCTTGGTGTGGTGGTCGGCCTCTCTCAGGACCCCAGTTGTTCCACCCCTCGGTGCTCAGATCGTTCCCTGTGCAGACCCCTCTCGAGTTGTATACAGTTGGTCTGTGTGTTTAACAGGGCACAAACAGAAGTCACTTCTGAGGTTGGGTTTTTAAAACTGCAGTCCCCTCTCACTCTCTCCCTCCGTGTCTCCTATCACTTGCTGTGCAGGAGGCCAGCTGAAAGGTCATAGGACACATGGCAGGCCTGGTGAAGAAGCCCAGGTCCAGATGAGTGAGCCAAGGACGCATCCCCTGCTCACTCTTTCATGACAACCTCGGGAGTGACCCTGGGCTAGCACTGCCCACCTGTGCCACTGCCAGGCTCTGGACCTGCAGACAAGGTGTTGTGTTGACGCTGCCACATTTGAGGATGCTTGGTTACCCAGTGACAGACAGCTGAGGCACTGTTCTTCAGGAAGGTGAACCCCAGCCTGCCCAGGGAGTGCTCATACCTGTGGCGACAACCTCCACGCACTTTGTCTCCCGCCCTGTGCAGGGCAGGTCAGTGGTGCCACAGAAGACACTTTCCTCGCTGTAGCAGGCAGGGCATTTGACACCGTTGGGGTCTGGTGACTTCTGAGACACTGGGTGAAGAGAGACGCATGTTTCCCAACGGAGTGGACTGGGAAAGTGGGCCAGGAGCATTGTGTCTGCCACCTCCCAGATCAGGACTCTTCTGGGCTTCTCCCACCAAAAAAATAAAAAACTAGGGAAAGTGTCTAACTAGGATGGCTAGGATGGCGTGGGCGGTGTTGGGTAGGAGAATGTAATCAGAAGGAGTTCTCCCTCTTCCTGCCTGCCCTGGCTGGAAACAGTCTCTGTGATGAGGAGAGGAGACCCCTGACCAGTGGCAGAGCTGCAGACTCACATGGGAGGACGCCCCCAGGGGTCCCAGAGCCTGCACTCAGAGCATCCATCCACACTGCTCCAAGGAGGAGAGGCCATCGGCAGCAGTCAGTGGGCGACTGGGTGGCAGGAAGGAGCCCAGAGGACGGAGGCTGAAAGCCGTGGATGGGCATAGGCGGGTGGGGAGCAGGGCGGGCAGTGGCACGCACCGAACACGTCCTTTTGGTTGCAAAGCTCGCTGCTACAGCACTGGAGGTCATACCCGAATGTCCGCTCATTCCCCAGAGTTGCTGAGAAGGCCAGTGGGGTGCAGGTGTTGGAAGAACAGCCTTTTTCCTGGGAGGACTGCTGGACTTTCCCTGCACGGAACCGAACCCCAGGAGAGCTCCTGTCTGAGCCGCAGACAGCAGGACCCGTGTCCACAGGGGCTCTGTCGCCCCCCTCTCCACCCCAGCCTTTCCACTCCTCCAAGGCCCTTCCGCATCGTCCGTTTTGTAGGAGGAAGCAGTGGAGGGACGACTTGAGAGAATTGCTGGAAAAGGAGTGGAGGCCTCTGGACTGCCCAGGACCCCACCCCACACCCTGATCCAGGCTGGACATGTTGTGAGGAGGTCAGAGGGCACAGACAAGGTCAAGGGCAGAGCCCCTGCATCCTGCTTCTGAGCAAGGCACCCCTGCCTCTGAGCACCCGCTCCGGCTGCTCTGAGCATGTCCCGACGTGGGCAGGGCTAGGACCTACCTGATTCATTAAATTCTTGCTTGTAGTGGAAGCAGCCTTGAGTGGCTTCACATGTTGCCTGCAAGCCGGAAGTGCACTGCAGTGGAGAGCATTCTGTGCACTTGTAACTCTCTACCCAAGGAGACAATGGCCAAACAGTCACTCAGCGGCGGAAGCCACCCCCAATCAGGTAACACTTCTAGCAGCTGTGCCTTCTGACAATGGGCCTGGGGTCCTGAAGTCCCAAGCCGGGCCAAGGCACCCCCAAGGAACCTGTTTCCCACCCCACCCTTTGCTCCAGGAGAAAGGGGCCCTCGATGCACTCCTTACCCACGGTGCTGAAAAGGAAGGTGGTGAGGATGCAGGTGGTGATGACACATGCCCTGGTGGGGGACGAAGCCATAGCAGCTCCTTGGACACCTGCTCAAAGCCCAAGTGAGAGCGCAGGGGTCAGGGCTATCCAGCGACCCAGGTGCCCAGCCAGTGCCGCCCAGTCGTCCCTCCCCCCTCCATTCGTTCAGCAGGGGAGAACTGGTGGAGCCCCAGCTCTGTGCTATATTTGGCTCTCGTGGGGGACATGGAAAGGGAAAGGACGCAGAGCCCCTGCCCAGGTGTGGGAGCTGTTAGGGGGCAGTCACGCTTCTGAGGAGGGGGTGACAGCAGCTCTCTGGGTGCCAGGACAGGGCTGGGGCCTCATCCAACAGCACAGGTTTCCAGTTTCAAAGTTGCCCTCCTGTATAGCCCCCCACCCACCACTGGAAATGCTCACCGCTGGTTTCTTCAAGGCTTCCGAGAGAAGGTCTCTGAGCCGGGGGAGCAGGATGCACTGGCCTAGAGTGGACAGGACCAGGCTGCTGAGCTTCTCCCCCACCCCTCAGTCACTCTTACCTTTATAGGCCCAGCATCCCCCCAGCACTGTGGAGAGTTACAATCTTGGCCCAGCACCAGGTCCACTAAATTTCCTTGTAGGTAAAGGGCTCTGGGCAAATAGAACTGGCCCAGCCCCAAGTCCAGCAGGTCTCCTGATCTATGAGGACAGCCACTCCCCTGACCTGCAGCCGGGGACGCTCCTTGGAGGCCCGGGTGGAGAGCAGAGGGGGACTGGGCCTTGCTGAAGTCCAGAGCAGGAAGTGAGGGAGGGGCAGCCCCGAGAGGGAGCCCAGCCTCTGTTGCAACAGATGGCTGGTAAAGGGTGCAGCTCAGGAAATGGGAGCGCTTGTTTCACTCTGAATTCATACCTCGTTTTCCAGAGTAGCCTTCAGCCAACACAAGTTGCCTCAGAGACAGATGTGTGTGTGTGTGTGTGTGTGTACACCCACACACTAGATACAGCCCTCCAGGGACCCCCTCCACCACATTCTTAGCTTCTCATGGCCTCAAGACAGCAAGCACACTCTTGTCTATTCCTTCTTCACATGAGAACTGTTTGCATGAAGAGAGCCGGGGGATGCGGACATGGCAGGCTCTGGAGCCGGCCTGACGTGGAGCCGAGCATGCCACAGACCAGGCCCATGGGGAGCCAGGCTGCGCCCACTGCCCTGGGCCTCGGTTTCCTGGGATGTGGTGATGCCCGGAGGGGAAGACTCAGGGCGTGTGGGCCGTGCCTGTCCCGGTGCAGGGCAGCTGGCACGGGGCTGCACCCTCACCCAGCATGGCAGCCAGAGACAGATCACAGCTTGAACTCACTGCTGGATCTCACTGTCGAGGGAGGGTGGGCTCATCCCGCACACTGGGCACCAGCGTCAATGTCTCATAGCCCTTGGCAGGCTCAGGCTGGGCCTCCTGGACAGTGGGGCACCCTGGAGGATGAGCACATGCAGCCCCTCCTCCTGCTGAGGCCACTGAGGACTGACGGCCAGGGCATCAGATCCCTCCCCACAGGACTGTCTCAAGGGAGGGGCTCCTGCCCAGGAACAGCTCCTCAGGATTCCTTGCCGCCAGAGCCCCCTCCAGCCTGAGGCTCTCCGGGTGACAGGATAAGATCAAGTGTCCATGGGGAAGGGGCCTGGGCAGCTGCTGGGTCCCCTGCAGTCCAACGTGGCTGCCTGCTGTGCAGGGATCAGGGAGGGAGCAGTGTGCTGGCTGCTTTCCGACAGGGCATCAGCCCTGTCAGTGCCCCGGACAGGGGCCGCCTGTGGGACCTATGGAGCTGCACAGGTCACGGCTGTGTTGGAATCCAGTCTAGAACCTGCTGAAGCGTGGGGGAGCAGCCAAGCTGTTTCTTTACACCGCTGTAGTCATCAGCTCTTCCCCGGGAGACTCGTGAGGACACAGTCCAAGCCAGCAGAGTGCAGAGGACACACAGAGAGACAGGCAGATGCGGCAGGAGGCCTCGCGACTTCCCACAGCGGTGGCTCTGCTGGACTTGAGGACTGTTTCTCAGGGGAGGAAAGGGACTGTCTCAGTGGGGCTGGTGCCCGGTCCAGGGCTCCATGCCTTGTCTGGTCACCCTGACAGTTGCCTGTCTCGTGTTCTGGCAGAACATTCCACCAGGTCGGATGCCACCTGCTTCTACACCCCTGCTGCCATGCGGGTAAGGCTGAAGCCAATCCAATTCTCATCAGAAGCTGAACCCTGCCAGTGCACGGTGTGGAAGCACTGATGGCAGCGGGAGGAGCCGAGAGATGGGCCACAGCTAAGGCAGAGCTGCTGACAAACGCAGCAGGCCCCAGTCTTCACCTCTGCTCCACCCCATTCCTGGGGCTCAGTGGGATCCAGCACCCAGCCGCTGGTTAAGGATTCAGTGGGACTCGGCACCCAGCTGCTGGTTAAGGTTTAGGGACTGAGGCTGGAGGTTCCCAGGGCAGGTGGAATCAGAGGCAGTAGGGGCTTCTGAGAACAGCGGGTGCAGGCAGGTGTCTGGGATGGAATGGCTCCTGGCTCTCAGTTGGTCCCAGTGCCCAGAAGCATGGGTGGGATCCGGGACTGAGGACACCGCGGGTCTGCAGGCTGTCATCTTGGAGTGTCAGTGTCTGTGTCTCGGAGAGGTGTTGCTGCGGCAAGGGACCGCCTGAGGAGCACCGGCCCTGCTCCAGCCCTCTCAGGCTGCAACAGGGCTCAGGGTGAGCCCCAGGATGAAGGGGAAGTGGTGCCCCTAGGCCCACGGTGGGGCCCTCAGGAGAGCCTCCGGAGGCAGGAGTGCCAGCGGGAACGTGGCAGAGGTGCCGTGCCAGGGCCTGCCTTGTCTCACCCTTTCCAGGGCAGTGGCTGTGGCTACAGGTGGAGGGCTGAGTGCCTCAGAAACCAAAAGCCAAGATGGGGGTGGGTCACAGCCCTGGTGGGGCAGGGCAGGGCTGGTCTTGTCAGCAGAGGTTTCGCTTTTGCTTACTGGGCTGTGGGGCTCCCATCAGAGCCACGTCCAGGCCCTTTGGCAGTCCACGGATTAGCATCCAGCCTTTTTAGTAAAAGCCATGGCCATCATTATGTCTGTGCAACTCACACATATGGACTCACATTCATATGCAAAACACATCCGAGGGCCCTGCCAGAAGCTCTTGGAGAAAGTATAGTGTGAGAAAACGATGCGTGGATTTCAAAATTGTTGAACCAAAATGAACTTCCTTTCTCCCCAGCGTTTCGGAGCCCTTTGTATCTATATCAACTGCCTCTGTGCCTCTGATGGAAAGGTGTCCATCTTTTGTCGTCTGATGTGTGGTTCTTGGTCTACTGTTCAGCATTCAGTTTGGGAGGCGGTTTTTCTAATTAAAATGAATTTAACTGTTACATAAACAAATCTTGTGGGTTCCCCTTCAGCACACTGGGGCATGGGATTTCTATCTGCTTGGTTCACGCTGCAGGCTCAGAGCCCACCGGGCTGACCCCTGCTTGGCACTGGATGGTATTGGCTGGTGAATGACTGCTCCTGTTACATAGACCTAAGAATGCAATTTCCGTTGTGTAGGGTTCTCTGTTAACTCTTAGAACAGGTGACAGAAGGAGTAGCATATGACGGCAGACTTCAGCATTATGGGATGCATTTCTTGACATTGGCCTTTTCTTCTTGTTGTGCACTTTGACATGACGTGAAAGAAGATAAAACACAATCAGTATTTCCTGAAACAAAGATACTGCTGCTACCTTTTTGACATAAAGTTTGCCCTTGGACTTTGGAGAAGAAGTGGGCTCATGGAATTTCACAAGGTCAGGGCCTAAGATTCCTCCCTGGGTTGGCAGAATCCACGTAGCCATTGAGGCTTACTGAAGAGTGTGTATTCAGAAGGGGTGTGAGGCTGAGCGCTGCTCTCTGACCAGCAGTCTGATGGAGGGGTGGGTTCCACAGCAGGGGCTGCTGGGGTGCTGACACACAACTCTGGGGAAGATACCACACACCGTGCATCTGCGCATTTAACCCAGTGAATTATATAGTGTGCCTGTTTAAACATTATTGCCCCATATACCTAGAAATATGAGAAAAGAAGTCACCTCAGCAGGTTCCGAAGTTCAGCAGCATAAGGGAGGGGAAGGCCATTTCCCTGGGGTCTGTGTGCTTTAGATCCCAGCTTCTCAGAACGGAGCCATTTCCAGGAAAAAGGCAGAGAGAAACCAAGAATCCCACAGAGTCACACTGTTCCTGCCCGCCCATTGGCATCTGCATCTGCAAACAGCCTGACCACGGGACCTTGGTTCTCAGCGTGCACCTGTGGAGCCTTGTGAAAGCTTTGCAAGTGGAAAACCTGTCAAGCCAGGCACCTGCCCACAAAATGCCCAGCAGCGTGAGCAGCTCTGAGGGCTGACACTGTCTCATTCCCTCTTCCGATGGCAAAGCCCTTCACATGCGTGAAACTCCCCGCACCGGGTTCCTAAAGGTCATGTACTGGGTCTCGTGGCTCAGAAAATCCTTCGGAGCTCACACTGCTCCCGTGGACGCAGGCTGGGTGGCCAGGAGGAGGCAGCTCCCTGCACTGAGCTCCTCTAAAACACACTAGGTCTCGAGGCTCCAGGATGGGCGGTGAGCCTTTGACACTCCCCCACCCCAGGTTTCATGACTAGAGAGAGCAAAGTCATCCCTGTCCTTGGGATGAAATGCGATAATCCCTTCTGTTAGACCTTCAACCCCGAGTGTCTACGGCAGCTTCAGCACCACGGACACGTCTCTGAGGAAGATGTCTGTGACAGAGTCCTAGCTTCACACACACCTGTGAGTTAGTCATCTTCCACATTTTACCTCGTCTAGCTGCTTTCTTAATCTCAAGTTTTCTTGGAAAACTTGGTCTTCTGATCTTCCAACACATTAGATTGCTGGGGATGTCTGAGTGAAGGGCCATAAACAGCAGAAATTTGTTCTCCCACAATCCTGAGGCTGGAGGGTGTGATCCCAGCATCCGCAGGTTTGGTCTCCCTGCGGCCTCTCTTCCTGTGCTTCACATAGCCGTCCTCTGTGACCTAATCCCCTGTTCTCAGTGTGAGTAGAGCTGGAAAAACCTTGTTTCCAAGTATGGTCACATTGACGTAGTGGGGATTAGACCTTCCACACGTGAATGTTTTAGGAACACACGTTAACCAGGACACACGTGAGAACCATGAGCTGCCGACTGCGTCTGTCTCTGCACCACAAGCAGGATGCTCTAGAATACCGGGCACACACAGCAGCTGGAATGTCAGGCCCAGGGTCTGCATTCCAAGGAGATGGGTGTGTGGTATGGGGGTGGGGTGCACAGCAGCTGTCCACTGTGAATATAGTTGGGTGTAGGACAAGGAGGAATCCACACTCACCTGTCTGGACGAGTTTGGGAGCCAGGTGTTGCTCACGCTTTATGGAGAGGAGGGGTGTGGGCTGTTTTAATGGCTGCAGCTGAGATAAGGAATCTCCTTGAGGACCGGCCATTGCCTCACTAGTGTGTGGGGAATGGCAGCTGTGTGCCCAGTGGCTGACTTCTGTTAAGGTCTTGCTGATAACAAAAGAGAACATGCCAGAGATACAGAGTCCAGAGAAATGCCATTTTAGCAATTATTTCCTTGTGCAAGTTCAAGTCTTACTTCAACCTGGCTTTTTTGAAACTTCTGTTGAAATATTCTGAGTGAAATTTGCTGATGGTGGAAGCTTGTGAGCCACAAGATCGGTGAACTTTGGTGGCTGTGGAGTACGGGCAGGTACAGGACTGCCTGGGTCTGCGTAGGACAAGGAGTCCACAGACCAGGCTGGGAAGGTGCATGGGGTCCAACGGAGGCACCATCAGGCAGCTGCTGATGTATTCATTTGTGTGCCACAAGACCCCATTTCCCTACAGTCAGTACAGCGGGGCTAGGGCAGTGGAGCCACATCTCTGGGCCAGTCTGTGAGAACATCATGGCCATTATGGAGCTGCCATAAGGAGCTGAAGCTGGGAGATTACAGGGAAGGCTGGGTGTTCCTGGGCTGCCTGAGTTTTGTCTAGAACATTCCATGAATCCCAGCACCACAGGGGACATGGCCTGCTGTGCCTATGTGGCTCCTGCTGCACTCTGCTACAGGACTGACCAACCTAGAGGTACCTGTCACCGAGGCTGCAAGTGCACAGACAGCAGAAGCAGGTGGCAACAGGAGCCTGTGGATTCTGGGTTTCTCTTCACCTTTCCTGGCAACGGCTCCTCCCCGTGAAGCCCGGGTCTCAGGTGCACAGACAGCAGAAGCAGGTAGCACTGCTCAGTCAGCAGGAGTCCCTCCACCCTTGCCCTGCTCTGACAACCTTGAAACCTGACATGCTGACTTCTTATCTCCTGTTATTTTCTCATAGTTCTCGATGCATAGAGTAATACGAGCCATGATTTCACAGAAATATGCCATCTGCCATGTCACTCACCCATTGAGAACACACAATTTGGGGAAGGCACTTGGCATAATGGTTGACATTGCTTGGGATACCCATATCCATTTCTGGTGCCTGGGTTCCAGCCCTCCATCCAGCTTCCTGCTAATGCACACCCTGGGAGGCAGCAGGTGATGACTCAAGAGATGGGTGCCTGCCACCCACATGGGAGACCTGACTGGAGTTCCAGGTTCCTGGCTTCAGCTTGGCCCAGCCTTAGTACATATTTTGGGAGTGAACCAGCACATTAGTCTCTCTCTCTCTCTCTCTCTCTCTCTCTCTCTCTCTCTCTCTCTCACACACACACACACACACACACAAAACAAGTAAAAAATTTAAAAACAAAACGCTCAGTTGAATGGTGTGCAGTATGTTCACAAATCAGTGTAAAAGGGACATTCACCTCTCCATCTGACCCCTCAGCCCATCCCCAGCCCTAGACAAATAGTCGTCTATGCCCAGGGTGCAGGAGCAGAGTTGTTTCTGTGTGATTACGAGGTGCTGCTCTGTGCTGTGCTGCGCGTGTTCTCTCGTGCACACGTGCAGGTGTCTGTGACAGATGCCTTCTAAACCCCCCAGTGGACCTGCTGTGTCAGAGGCGGCTCTACACTGGGCTGTTTCCCAGCGTGGCTGCCGCGTTGGTAATCCAGGCAGTGCAGGAGGGTTCGGCCTCTCCCCGCCCTCACAGCACCATGCCATCTGCCCTTCTCAGAGCTGTCCCTGCTGGGGTAAAGTGATTGTGGTTTTGGTTTGCATTTCCCTGTCAGCCGAGGATGTTGAGTATCATTCCCAGGCTTATTGCCCATGTGTGCTTCTGCTTTGGAAATACCATAGTCTTCTGCCAACTAATTTTCTTTTTTTCTCTCTCTCAATAGGTCATGTTCCAGATTAAAATTAAGCCTTAGAAGACACAGGGACATAAAACGAGACAGGGTCCCACTCTCCCCCAAGCTCCTTCCGCTCTGATCTCAGGAGCGCCAGGCACCTGTGCACCTGACCCTCGGAGCAGCGCAACACAGAGATCACACTGTGCCCGAGCTTTGCTGAGAGTGACAGCGCAGTTGTTCATCTCTGGGGCAGTTTAAAGCCAGGATCTCCTGGGGCTGCGCTGAGCGTGTGTCATCTTTCCAGGGTCCTGCAGAACTTGCACAAGAGACTGCGAAACGGGAACCGCAGTTTCCACACCGGCAGCAGCCCCGGCTCCCCCAGCCCTTTCATGGGGAAAAGGCTTTCCGTCTGCTAACAGCTCCTTACAGCCGAGCTGGCTGCACCATCACATGTGTGTCTGACAGAGTGCCAGCCATAAAAATGTCTGGGACGGCAGAAGAACGGCTGGATGAAGAAAACCAGGCCATGGGACGCGAGGCTCTCAGCAAGGCTGTCTTTCAATGATGTTGTTGCGAGGAACTAGGTGCCGGGGCACACGTGGGTGAAATTAAGCAGAACGCAGCGAAATCGCTGTGTGGGTACAGATTTCCGGGCTGTGGCGCAGGGCGGGGCGTCTGCCCAGGGCTGCTGCGGCACAGCTGGTGCACATGGGTAGACTGGCTGGAGCCCGGCAGCCGCTGGGGGTCTTGTGGGCGTGACTCGGTAAACAGACGGCTGGAAGGCAGCTTTAAAGGTGGCCTCTAGAGGAAGACCTGACCAGCACCTGAAGGCCAGCGGGGGCCCAGCGGCCCTCCAGGAAACACCGGCTGCAGACACCAAGCCTGAGCGGGGGCCCAGCAGCTCCTGAGGCTGTGCCCGGGGAAGCAGGAAGCAGCAAGGCCGCCGGGTGCGCCGATTTCCTGTGGTTCTGCCCTTTGCCGCCGGCTGCGGCGTCCCAGCTCAGCAGTTAGCCCACACAGGCCGCCCGTTCGGACATCACTGTCATTCCTGGAGGAAAATGAAACTTAGAAAAGTAAAACTAACACAAGACAGGGAGTGAGCGAGCTGCTCTCCAGGCGTGCGTTTTGAGACTGCAAACCCCTTCCTTTAAGAACACTTGGGTGGTACAGACACTGCTGACAGGGCGGGAACTCAGCCCAGGTGTCCCTGGTGGGTGTCAGGCACCCACTCACCCAGGCCACCGCCAGCGCCTCCCAGGTCTGCACTGGAGTCTGAGCCAGGGCCGAAACTCACACCAGGCGCTCTGGATGAGCACCGAGATTCACCCTGGAATCCTGAGCCTGAGGGGGAGCCCAGGCCGTCTGCCTCCCTCCAAAGGTGCGGTGCATCTTAAGTGACAGTGCCCCAGACCGGTGTACAGGAGCAGCCACCTCGACGCCGGGTGTGTGTGTGTGTGTGTGTGTGTGTGTGTGTGGATTTATCTACAAGCGAAATACCAGGGAGCTCAGGCGTCGGCAGCCCAGGCGCACTGGGGGCGAGAGCTGCGAAGGAGCACACCTGTGGGGGAACGGCGCCCAGAAACGCGGCAAGCAGTGGGGACTCCGGGGCTGGGCGGTCCCACACCACGCTGCCACAGGCGGCAAGGCAGGCCAGGGACCCGGGGTGTCGGCGTCCAGCCCGGCCGAGGCTGGAGGCTCAGAAGGCGGGTGCCGTCCCCCGTGCACACCAGGCGCATTCTGAGGGCTGGGGACGTCCATCAACAAACGTCCCCTCCAGAAGCCGGGAGCAGGACACGCCAGCAGCGTGCAAGCACAAAGCCAGAGGCGTCCAGGAGACGTGGGAGAGGGCAGGGCGAGACCCAGGTGGCGGGGAGCGGCCCCGGGGCCCCCAGACCACCCCTTCCTCCGGGCCTCTGGGAAAGGGGCTGTGGAGCAGAGCTCAGAACCAGGGGGCCGAGGCCACAGAACGCGGGAAGAACGTTCTAGCAGAGGCCCGGAGCAGCGGGCAGCAAGGGCTGCTCCCTGGTAGCCAAGAAGCCGCAGCGCGGAGGGCGGCGGTGCGGAACCAGGCGGAGCCGAGGGTGTGGGAGGAGCCGGGTGTGGGCGGGGCCTGGTCGGGAGGAGCCTGGGGTGTGGGCGGGGCGGGGGTGTGGGCGGGGCCGGGGTGTAGGCGGGGCCGGGGTGTATTTCGCGCCTCTGGGAGGTCTGCCCCAAGGGAGCCCCCTGGCCCCGCAGGAGACAAGTGAGGGACCCGGAGCGCAGACGGGACAGAAGGTGATGGCAGTCTTGTTTTCTGATGTCCTTAGCAGAATGACCGTTCAGTTAATGTATTGAACATCTGCTCTAAATACTGCCCCGCGTTAACCCCCCACCTCTCGTCTCGCAGCAACCCCCGGGTGAGTTCTGCCGTGACTCCCACTTCACAGATTAGGAAACGGGGGCTGGGGGAGTTACGGAGCCACAGACTGACAGCTCCCGGCGGCAGGAGCAGCCCCTGGGGGCGCCAGTGAGGAGGGCGGCGGCCTGCAGTGCCCCGTGAGCACGGAGGAGCGCAGGTGGGCCCTGTGCACGCCCCTGCGTTCCTTATTGCTTCCCTGCCGCTGCGAGTCGTTCGCTCGCAAGCCTGAGGTTCTCAATCTTAAAATAGCCCCAGATTTTTCGCTGCTTAGAGACGACTTTCTCTACACTCCCCGCAACACCTGACCCAACAGCAGCGCCCCTGCTGCGGGGCCTTGTGTGCCCAAGACGCTGAACAAGCCGGCCCGCTGGGCTCGGCCCTGATCCGGCCAGCAGACTGACCGACCAGCGAAAGGGCGACAGTGGCTGCTTCAGAGCGGCCGGAGGGACCCAGCGGACACCTGTCCAGAAAGTCACCCTGGAGCCACCGTGCTGGCACAAAAGACCAGAAACCCTCGGCTGGATGAAGGTCAGCGCCAGTATCCACGAGCAAGCTGCGCTCGGTCCCTGGGGGGCGAGCGAGTGACCCGCGCCCAGAGCAACGCACCCGGCATAGCCGAGTTTCTGTGAGGGCCTCAGAGGCCCGGCCACCGACCGCAGCCGTCCTCGACGGGACCCGGGGGCCTGCTGGACACGCTGCGGTTGTCTCAACCAGGGTCTGCCGGCTTCCGGGAGAAGAGCGCTGCCCAGGACAGCTGCCGCCCGCACTCAGCCGGGTGGGCCCGGGTCTGGTCCGCGGTGTCGACAGCAAGGTGGGTGATGGGCAGGAGAGAGCGGAGGAGTTTGTCCAGGGAGCGGGGAGGTCGTCGGCACCCCGACGGTGACCGCATTTATATCAGCAGGTGCACTTACCGCTTGGTGGTCCGCCAAGTGTAACTCCAGGTTAGGAGATTTCCGCTTAGCAGAAGGCAATGGTGCCACCTAGTGGCGGGTCTCCCAATACCACGAGTACTTCAGAAAGTGAGTCTGGGGGGAGCAAGAGAACCTTGGAAATGTAGGCATTCCAGGAGCTCTCAGAAAGTCCGTGGAAATGAATGCTCTGGGAAAACTGGGCATGGATTTCTTTTTTTAAAAAAAAATTATTAATGGGGCCAGCGCCGTGGCATAGCGGGTAAAGCTGCTGCCTCCAGTGCCGGCACCCCATATGGGTGACTGTTGGAGTCCCGCATGCTCCACATCTGATCCAGCTCTCTGCTGTGGCCTGGGAAAGCAGTAGAAGATGGCCCAAGTCCTTGGACCCCTGCACTCATATTGTAAGACCTGGAGGAAGCTCCTGGCTCCTGATCAGCTCAGCTCCAGCCGTAGCAGCCATCAGGGGAGTGAACCAGCGATGGAAGACCTCTCCCTCTCTCTCTGCCTCTCCTCTCTCTGTGTAACTCTGACTTTCAAATAAATAAATAAATCTTTTTTAAAAAAGAAATTCAGCAAGACCATATTTATTTATTTGAAAGGCAGAATTACAAAAGGGCAGAGGCTGAGAGAGAGACAGAGAAAGAGAGAGGTCTTCCATCCACTGGTTCACTCCCACATGGCTGCAACAGCCAGAGCTGTGCTGATCTGAAGCCAGGAACCAGGATGTTCTTCGGGGTCTCCCATGGGAGTGCAGAGGCCCAAGGTCTTGGGCCATCTTCTACTGCTTTCCCAGGCCATAGCAGAGAGCTAGATTGGAAGTGGAGAAGCCGGGTCTCAAACAGGTGCCCATATAGGATGCTGGCACTTCAGGCGGCCACTTTTCGTCGTAAACCACAGCGCCAATCCGTGTTCATGGATTTCAAAAACGTTTTGCACCAAAACAAACGTAATTTTTTTTGACAGGCAGAGTGGATAGTGAGAGAGAGAGAGAGAGAGAGAGAGAGAGAGAGAAAGGTCTTCCTTTGCCGTTGGTTCACCCTCCAATGGCCTCCGCGGCCAGTGCACCGTGCTGATCCGAACAAGGAGCCAGGTGCTTCTCCTGGTCTCCCATGGGGTGCAGGGCCCAAGCACTGGGGCCATCCTCCACTGCACTCCCGGGCCACAGCAGAGAGCTGGCCTATAAGAGGGGCAACCAGGACAGAATCCGGCGCCCCAACTGGGACTAGAACCCGGTGTGCCGGCGCCGCAAGGCGGAGGATTAGCCTGTTGAGCCATGGCGCTGGCCCTGTAAATTTTTTTTTAATTATTTTTATTTTCTTGAAAGGCAGAGTTACAAGGGTAGAGGGAGAGACACACAGAGAGAGGGGGGGTCTCCCTAAATGGCCACAATGGCAGGGCTGGTCCATGCTGAAGCCAGGAGCCAGGAGCCAGGAGCTTCTTCAAAGTCTCCCACATGGGTGCAGGGGCCCAAGGATTTGGACCAGCTTCTAAAGCTTTCCCAGGCAACAGAAGAGAACTGGATTGGAAGTGGAGTAGCTGGGTCTCAAAGCAGCACCCATATAGGATGCCTGCACTTAAAGCCGGGGCGTTAACCCACTCACCACAGTGCCAGCCCCTTAACTTGTCTTTTAATTCCATTTTCCTCAAACTTTTCTATCTTCCCAAATCCTACGGAGTGAGGAAAAGTTAAATTACATAAAATGAAGCCATCAACATAACCTGAAGGCAGGGAATGCCAGACCTTCAACTGCAAACCTACACGGAGCAGTCACCAGGCCGCAGCACACACCTGTCCACGTCTGTTCGTGATGACTGGCTTCTCAGCTGTGGGGCTTACAAATGTGCATTAGTTCTGTTAACCCTCACGAGCCCTGATAATATGAGTAATTCCTTAACTGTATATCATAATTATGTTATAAAACCTGAGCGAGATAAAATATTATGACGTTTTGGTAAACTTAGATACTCAGCCCTGGTGAGAGTATTACAATATTGGCTTCCCAAATTAATTATAAATGTTTTCTAAACAAGAGGTAAAGAACCAAACTCCCACAGAACAAAAGTCCGAAGGAGAAACAAAGACATTATAGATAGGTTGATTGATTACATATGTATATATATATAATTTCCTTTAAAAAAAGACAAATGTTCCAACTCCATAATTCGAGAAATGCAAGTTAAACACCACTGAAACACTACTTCTCACCAATCAGATTAGCAGACGTCAAACATACAAGATAGTGCAGGGTGTGGCAGGGCATCAGGAAACAGGCCCGCCTGTAAAATGCAGGTCCCACCACCCCAAAGGAGGTCTGGGAGCCCCAGCAGAGCACGCCCAGGATTCAGGAGTCTGGCCCAGGAATGGCTCAGAGAAGCAGCCACGTGGCCAGCAGAATGAAGTGGGGTGCTCACGGCTACTATGGAAGCGTTGTTTGTGATGCAAAATACACGACTAACCCAGTGCCCACAGCACAGAGAGACCGAGAAACCATGCCCTGGGTCCCACGCAGCTGACAGCAGAGTAGGCAGGGCCCACATGGTGCAGAGATGGGAGGTGAGGAAAGCAACGTGGCAGGAAGTTGTCCACAGTGGGTGACTCTGGGAGGCGGCCCAGCTGGACAGCATCCAGAAACCCACAGTGCCCAGACAGAGCACCTGGGACAACAGACCGCCCGTGTGGCCCAGCCCCCAGGGGCCCTCAGTGTGGGGAGCGAGCCTCGCACAGAGCACAGACGGACAGAGCACAGACGCCCGGCCGGGAGCTGACCGAGCGGTGGGAGCTCATGCAGGTGCGGCCTTCCCGGCTCCCTGCAGCACTCCGGCTCAAGGGCGTGGGGCTGGGGCAGAGAATCCTTTACCTGGTCCTGGACAGCAACTTAAATCAATACGCAGACAGGCAGAAGCTGGTGCGTCCAGGCAGAAAGCTACTCAGTAGTTTACGGCAGAAATAAAAACAAAGAAAGAAAGGCTCAATGTCAACAACAGAAAAGACAAAATGCAGTTTTATTTGTAAACGGTTCAGAGGGAAGAAAATGTGGAAGTGGGCAAGAGGGGGTCGGGATGCAAATGAGGCCCCCAGACTCCAAGTAAACAAAGAACCAGAGGAAGTCCTGAAGGCAGGAAGATGGGCAGCGGGGTCAACTCCCAGCAGCAAAAGAACCAAGGTCGGGGTGACGGGCACCCAAGGCCATCTGGAGGAGGAAGCATGGACAAGTTCAGGCTCTCAGGCCACCATGCTCATGGAGAGGCCGAGTTCCTCCCGGCCCTGTGACATCCCTCATCCCACCCTGAAGCCCACAGACCACCCCCAGGGCTAAGAGGTTCTGAATGAGGAGATAAGGAGTGGCCACCACCGCACTGATCCCCACTGGAGAAGCAGAGGGCTTAGGTCCACTCTCCCTCCAGGCCTTCCCTGGGGCGGGGGGATGTAGCACCTCTGCTCCCACCCTTGGCAGGCCCCCGCCTGTGCAGGCCCCAGCATGCTGAGCTGGAGTACAGGGAGCTGGGAGAGGAAAGCACGGACCAAAGCCAGCCTCCCACAGGACACTGCTCCACCCAAGTCACACGGTGGGGGGGAGGGGGGCTGACCTGATGCGCCTGCTTCAGCTCCCTGTCACTCACACCGACCCACCCTTCCTGGCGAGCATCGCCACAACAGGGCAGTGCACGGTGTCCCTACCAGGACCAGTCTGTGGGAACAAGGGTTTTGTCCAGGGCCAGGAGAATGGGAGACTGTGCGAGTCTCTGCAGAGAGCGTCCCCGCTCCGTGCTGCCCAAAGCCATCAGCCCCTTTTCCCTCGTGGGACTCCCGTCTCCAGGCGTGGGGCCAGCGTGGACAGTGAGGGTTGGGGGAGCCCCACGCCACCCTTGTTCTCACTGCTGCCAGCAGAGGCTGGGAGGGGGGAGGCGGGAGGTGGGGGCAGGGAGTGAGTGGGGGGAGGGACCTGGGTGTTTCCCCCCACATGTGATGATGGTTTGAGGACATGGCCGTGCTGACCTCACGTGTGGCTCCATGAACACGGACAACTTTGAGGGATCAGTAAGCAGACCTCCCCTCCCCTGAACAAAAAAAAAAAAAAAAAAAAAAAAAACACACTGCTTCTGGGAGTGATCCACCGAGAGCCACCGGCACCAGGGGCCACACTGGCCGCCATCCCCCTCCTCCTGGATGGGAGCCCGCACCTGACCTCCATGAACTCAGCTCGCAGGAGGGCTCGGGGCACCTGCTCCCAGGAACCACGGGATCCAACGTGTGCCTTCTCCAGCTCAGAGAACTGTGTCCCAGCTCACGGCCCCTCCTGCCTGGACCAGGGTCCCCAACCCTGCCTAAGCCCAGCCTGGATCTTCTGGACTGCACATTCAAGCCAGGACCCCTCCCCCACCCAGATACAGTGGGCACTGGGGAGATGGGCTCATAAGCAGGGGCCCCAGCAGAGGTCAGCCCACTGCTGCAGGCCAGGGCCAGAAAAGGGAGGTGAACAGGGTGGGAGCTGCCAGCAGGAACAGGAGCAAGGGGGGCAGGTGTGGGGGTGGGGCACAGGGGCAGCTGAGCGCCTCCCAGGGAGACCGGCTGACACCCTCACAACCCTCTGGGGTGTGATCCTGACCACACCTGTCCCACAGGTGGGCCAAGGTTCTGGGGCTGGGATTCTACCTGACCCCTGGCCACCCTGTCTCCACGGCAGGGCCCATGGAGCTGCCCAGGGATGAGTTTCCTCCTCCCAGGATACGGTGCTGAGCCCTGGCCAGCGCCCTGTGAGCACGAGGGACAGCCCTTCCCCTGGCCTGGCCCCCAGGCCCCGCACACGACCCTCCCCCGGGGGCCCTGGGATGGGAGGGCTGCTGGGGCAGAGGCCAACTCACAGGCGTGGATGTCCACCCTGCACCTTCTTCTAACCAAGATCTGTTTGTTAAATCAGAACCTCAGGGCCGGCGCTGTGCCATAGAGGGTAGATCCACCGCCTGCAGTACCAGCACCCCTCATGGACACTGTTCTAGTCCTGGCTGCTCCACTTCCAATCCAGCTCCCTGCTAATGCACCTGGGAAAGCAGTGGGGGATGGCCCAGGTTTTGAGCCCCTGCACCCATGTGGGAGACCCGGATGAAGCTCCAGGATCCTGACTTACAGCTTGTGCAGCCCTGGCTGTTGTGGACATGTGGGGACTAAACCAGCAGACAAAAGCTTCCTCCCTCTCTCTCTTTCTCTCCTCTCTATCTCTGCTTCTGCAAGACCTATTATTCTCAAGAGAAGAGTGATATAGTGAGAAATGTGGCCCAGGCTCTCTTGAATTATGGGATCCGAGACCATTCCCAATTATCCCACAAAAGACAGTCATAGATGCAGGGGCAAGGGATTGATGGTTTTATTGCCAGCAAGCTGGGGCTCCCACCACACATACAACACAGTGCAGTGCGGGGTGAGAAGCCCCGCCTCTCTCCTTCTCGGCGTTTTTATACGCATGAGTAAACAAGTACATCCGTCATCACACACATATGCTAGTTTCTTATTCTCCATACAGCAATTACCTAAATTTGAGCATTTTATTGGTGCATCACAGCAGTGTGGGGACTACGCGTCACACAAGGAAGTGGTCACACAAGAAGTGGGAGACCATTAATTTCAGGAAGTATTTACTAAGGTTTGTTTTCTAAGAATTGGGCTTCCCGTCTTCCTGGAGTGTGTGAAGCCTGGCATGCAGGTACTATTATCCCCCCACACACACACCTTTTCTTACTCTGGGCATCCCGCATTAAGTCATTGAGCAAGCAGAGCAGTACAGAAGCAAAAAGCAACTGATACTTAGCATCAGTTCTAGATTTTTTTCACTTCAACAGCTCCTGACAACTTCATAACGGGGTCCCTGGGCCTCCTGGCACGTGGGGACACTCCCGCAGGGCGCCCCACTGAGGGCCATCAGGGGCCCAGCTGCTTGTCGCCTTAGACCTAGAGCAGGCCCTGGAATTCCCAGGAAGCGGCACCTGAGACTCCCAGAGGAGTGTGGCTCCGGGAGCTGGGAGCCGGGAGCCGGGAGCCGGGAGCCGGGCTGTGGTCTCCCAGGGTGGACGCGCAGAGGTGACCACAAGCAGAAGAGCAGGACGACAGCCACGCCAGGTCACCCCCCGGCTTTTATTAATGGCGTGTATGCCCAGGTAAGTGGATCCCCAAGAAGCTATCAGGACCCGATCACACGGAAATGCAAAAGCAAGGTTTATTTGAAAGTACAAGCCGTTGGCCGGCGCCGCGGCTCACTAGGCTAATCCTCCACCTTGCAGCGCTGGCACACCGGGTTCTAGTCCCAGTTGGGGCGCCGGAGTCTGTCCCGGTTGCCCTTCTTCCAGGCCAGCTCTCTGCTGTGGCCCGGGAGTGCAGTGGAGGATGGCCCAAGTGCTTGGGCCCTGCACCCCATGGGAGACCAGGAGAAGCACCTGGCTCCTTGTTCGGATCAGCGCGGTGCGCCGGCCACAGCGCACTGGCCACGTCGGCCATTGGAGGGTGAACCAACAGCAAAGAAAGACCTTTCTCTCTGTCTCTCTCTCTCTCTCACTGTCCACTCTGCTGTCGAAAGAAAGAAAGAAAGAAAGAAAGAAAGAAAGAAAGAAAGAAAGAAAGAAAGAAAGAAAGAAAGAAAGAAAGAAAGAAAGAAAGAAAGAAAGAAAGAAAGAAAGAAAGAAAGAAAGAAAGAAAGAAAGAAAGAAAGAAGCGCGGCGGCAGGGACCTCATCTGACCAGCCACGCAGCAGAGGTCAGAGGAAGGCCCAGCCTTTGTCTGGGAGCGCTTTTAAACGAAACCACAGGGTTACATCAGCGGGGGCTTACAGCACGGGGCTTTGGTGACTGGACGGGGCTGCTCCGGGTTGCTCTCAGTTGAACGGGCGGGGGTGGGGGGTCTCCGTTTGGCCTAGGGTCAGGGAGGTACCTCGTTTGTAACCTCTATGAGCTACCCTTGGTCTGCTGAGCTGTCCCTGGTCAGCTTTGATGTCTCCGGAACGCCTGGATGCCTGCTTTTACAAGGACTCGGGTCTGCTGCGGGAAACGGAGGCTTCTTTTTCTTTTAATTTTTTTTAAATGGAGTCCCTTTGGCTCTTCAGGCGGAGAACCCGTTCCCTCGAGGCCACACCCGTGCGCCCGGCGCCCCTGGTCTTCACCCCCGTGGGCTCTTTCTTTCACCAAGGCCAGGTCCTCGGGACACAGGCAGATGTGTCCAAGGCCCAGGTAGGTGTAGCTTCACTGCGGCTCCGGAGGGGTGGGGGCGGGGCCGGGCTGGTCTCAGAATGGCGGGGCAGGGGCGGGAGGGCGGAGCTGGGGGCGGGGCTAGGAAGGGCGGGGCCAGGGCAGCACAGGCTCTGAGCAGCCAGAGCTGCTGCAGCCCCAGGCCTGCGGTAATGGCTCAGGGGACACCTGCCAGGGCCGCGCCCGAGTTCAGGTTCTTGGTGATCCGGACAGCGTTGCTGCGGCTGAGCTGGCTGAAGACGATGTTCCATATCCTGATGTTCGGCGTCGACAGGAGCTGGCTGAGTTCTTCGGTGATGTCGGAGCAGCCTTTGACCCGCAGCGTGTACACCACGGTGGTCCCTAGAAGTTGGGTCACCTGAGCGCCATGGCCCAGTGGGCAGCACCAGCACCCAGCCAGCTGCATGGCCAGGGCCGCGGGGCTCGGAACTCGCCTGCCTCTCCAGGTCAGCCATCGGGCGGTGACAGACAGGTGCAGCTGACCCAAGGTAGATAGGTAGGCACCCCTGCCCCACCCAGGAGGACCGGGCCTGGGTCCTCCTCATCCAGGCCGGGCCCAGACCCCACTCCTCTCTGGAGCAGAGTGTTACCTGCCTCAGTTTCCCCTCAGCAGAAGCAAAAGCAGCCAGATGAGACCCAGTGACTGCGTACAGACAGAGCAAGAGCCCGGGGGGGTGAGGGAGGGAGCAGGGCGCCAGTCTTGGGGGGGAGAGCACCAGAACCTGGCTAGGTGGCTCCTTCCCTCGGCCGGCCGACAGGCAGGGCACTGGGGGCTGGGCTAGTGTGTTAGGAAGACACGGGACCAAGGCTGTTGTATAGCAAGTAAAGCTGCCGCCGGCAGTGCCAGCATCCCATATGGGTACCAGTTCATGTCCTGGCTGCTCCACTTCTGATCCAGCTCTCTGCTATGGCTGGGTGTCGGGAGCAACTCAGACTAGACTAAGTTACTCGAATTAAGACTTATTCTATGCATCTGCTCTCCCACAATATGGTGCTGGGAGAGGAGTAAACTTCTACACAGCTGCCTCTCACCAACTTGACAAACTGCAGGAGCTGATCCTGCTCCTGACTGGAGGAGAGCAGCGTGCTCGGCGTGTGGGTAGCAGAGCACAGATTGGTGGAAGAGGACTATAAAGGAGGAGAGAGACAACATGCACCAGGAACACCTGAGGAACATCTGAGCAGCCCCCGAGAGAGCCGGCCGGCAGTGTGCCACTCCCCCGCGGAAGTAGGGAAAGTGGCAGGGGGAACCGCCCTTCCACGGAGGTGGAAGGGATGGTAGCCAACCCGGGAAGAACCAACAGCAAACCCAGGGAGGGCCCAGCAGACAAAAGAACAATGCAGGGTCCTGTGTCGTTCCTCCGCGAAGAGGGGGAGCGACAGCTGGGAAAGAGGTAGAAGATGGGCCAAGTCCCTGGGCCCCAGCATGCGCAAGGGAGACAAAAAAGAAGCGCCTGGCTCCTGGCTTCAGATCAGCTCAGCTCCAGCCGGGGCAGCCAACTGGGGAGTGAACCAGTGGGTGGAAGACCCCTCTCTCTGTTCTCTCTCTCTCTCTCTCTCTGCCTCTCCTCTCTCTGTGTAACTCTTTCAAATAAATAAATCTTTTTATCTTTTAAAAGGAAGATGTGGGCCTGTGCGCTTCTCTGCTGCATTTTTTAAAAAGTGACCCTGGGCAAAAGCAAGTAAAAAAATTCGCATTTGATGGCATTGACCCAAGTTGAGCTCTGTGAGGAAAAACCTCCCAGGTCCCTGCAGAAGAGGACACAGGCACAGGATGGGCCAAGTCCCCGCACCGCCCGGCTCCCAGCCCCAGAGTTAAAACCCGCAGCAGTGTAGACATCCCAGGGAGGTGAAAGCACAAAGAGCCATGCCCACTGGGATTCCCAGTGTTCTGGGAAATACTGCGGGGAGCTGGGTGCAGCTGTGGGTCTCATACACTGTACCGACCCCAGAGTCCAGCTGGAGAGTGGCCCTGTGTGCACTGAGGACCTGTTGACGCTGAGGCCAGCCGGGCAGACCACTGAGAAATCCAGGACTGCAATTAACATCCATGCCTGATGCCCACATGGCCCTGGGGAAGCCTGCGCCCCCTGCTGGTGAGGAGCAGACCTGCAAGGCTCTGAGCTCTGCAGGACCTGCCCTTGCCAGGGACCCACCCATGAGGGTCCTGGCCTGCTGCTGTGGGACCTGGTCTGCTGTGTAGCCCAAGGAGAACCCATTGCTTTCATCAGAAAGGACGATTGTTGGATTTGGAAGCCGAATGTGACACTTCCACCAGGGGACCCAGTTTGCTAAGACTGACAGGTAGAAGAGTGCAGGTGTACAGAGGCCACCCCACCCCCACCTGTGGAATGAAGCAGCCTGGTGACTGACAGCCAGCACAGGTGGAGGCCCTGGGCCAGCAGCAGGGGAAGCAGCCCTGCCCTGAGAAGGCAGCCCTGAGACAGCACTGGAGCCTCTCTCCCGCTCACAGGCATCCCGGCCCCGTCCCTGTGTCAGGCCGCCTCCCCCCACCTCTCTGTGAACCTGCATCTCAGGACCCCTGGAGGAACTGGATCCCAAGACATACCTTGTATGACTTCTGCAAGCACATCGACACAGCGTTCTCCTGGGTTACATGGCAGTTCTATCTCCTCACAGGAGGTGACATTAAACCCTATGCAAGAAGGGCACTGGGTGTCGCCGGTCTCAAGAGTTAGAACATATGCAAGGGAAGAGGACTTATCACAACCATGCTGTCAGACAGGATGGAGCGACTGCATCCTGGACTCGACACCTGGTCACCACTGAAGACCCAGACCCCCAGCTCTGCCTCAACAGCCCGCCCAGTCTCTGAGCCTGTGGGGTCTAGGCTGAGAAGAGAAAGGTGGGCCCAGCCTGTCCCAAGTGTTGTCGTACTGGTGTGTGACAGTTGCTAAATCTGTTTTCAAGCAGGAGAAAATAAATAAACTTTATTTTTAAAACACAGGGCTTCAGGGTGCCGACACTGTAGTGTAGCACGTAAGGCTGCCGCCTGCAGTGCCAGCATCTCATATGAGTCCCGGCTGCTCCTCTTTGATCCAGCTCTCTGCTATGGCTGGGAAAGCTGTGGAGGATGACCCAGGTGCTTGGGCCCTGCACCCATGAGGGAGACCTGGAAGAAGCTCCTGGCTCCTGGCTTTGGATCAGCCCAGCTGCAGCCATTGCAGCCATTTGAGGAATGAACCGGCGGCTGCAAGATCTATCCCTCTCTGCTCCCTCCCCCCCACCACGCTCTCTTTAACTGTTTCAAATACATAAATAAAAATCTTTTCAAAAAAAAAATGGGGCTTCGGTCTTGAGCGGCGGTTCTCACACCTGGGCTCTTCCTGGGGGCTGAGTTAACCACTTCTGGCCAGCACCACACTGCCTGTGCCTCATTCTCTCTCCCTCACAAACACAGGGTGGGGTTTTCCACACAGGAATGCACACACGTGTGAGCCTCCTGCCATCTGGTATGTGACAACGCCACACCTGGCGAAGCCTGGCGCATCTGCTGCCCTGCCGCCCTCCATCGCCTGGGTCAGCTCCGGGGCAGCAGGGTGCACAGACAGTGAGCGATGCAGCCTTTCTCCAACGCTGCTGTGTGTTTGCAGCTGGGAAAATTTGGGGAAATTGCTGTGTCAAACATGTTCTGAGATGAACTCACGTGGTCACCACACCTGTAGCTGCCACCAAATAAGCCAGCTGATGGGACTGTGACCGTGAACAGGCCAGGGACCCTCACAGCAGAATTTCCTTAGACTGTACTTAGCACGCTCTCAGTGCTGTGCAAAGAACATCATATGCTTTCTTAATCTTTGTTTGTTTTGTTTGTTGGTACTATAATGGCTGATTGAAGGTATGGAGCAGTTGAATACCTTGGTGGATGTTTTGGTTCAACCTCTACAAGTGGCCTACAGCCCCAGCACTCTGAGTCTTTCCGTGGATTGGCTGTGGAAGCCGTCATTTGTTCTTGGGTCAGTACACTGAGTGCAGACACGTGCACCCGCCCGAGGTGAGGCCGTGTCCCAGAGCCAGGCCAGGGCTGGCGGGAGGGCTGGGTGCTGGCCTCATTTCTCTCTCTGGACAGTGAGTGGGGAGACCCACAGGTTCCCGGTGCAGCCCTCATTGCGTGTCCCTGGCTTTAATCCCCTCAGTCCTGTCCCTCCACTAGGCCCTGTGCAGCTGTGCAGGAGCCCAGGGCTCAGGAGCGGGGGCTGTGGAGGGGGAAGACGTGTTCGTGGAGCCCCGAGTGACTGATGGCTGCAGGCCGTGTGCCTTCCCAGTCAGAACAGCGCTTCAGAGGTGGGTGGTGGTGCTCATCCTGTGAGAAGACTGGGGCATCCAGTACAGGCGCACACCTTGTATAGGCGGGCACTGAGCCAGGAACAGGCACTCACTTATACAGCCTTGCATTGAGCACGGGACAGGCCAGCACCCTGTACAGGTACACTGAGCCTATTTAAGGTGCTCACCTTTTACAGGGTGCACAGAGCCGGGACAGGCAGGCACCTTGTACAGCCGGGCACTGCTGCAAGCTTGTGTGTCATGCGCGCACATTTACTCTTTGGTGTGGCCGGGTCGGGAGTCTCAGGCACCGTAACTGCACTGTAGCCGGATCTTATGTTGCTGAGCTGGAGGAATGAGCCCCTGAATGGAAGTTTCCAGAGGAAACCCAGCAGCATGTGGGCAGGCTGCATGCTGGCCATGGGACCTTCTGTGAGTTCTGGGCCTGGACCCCTGCTGCAGGCAGGGTTCCTCCTCTGGGCACCCCGCCCCACCCTGCACCCTCTCCGTGTTTGCTCTGAAATGGGGTAGACTTCCCCGACCACCACGTCTGGACTCTGCTGGACAAGCCCACTCCCCACCGTGGCTCCAGGCTCACCCCCAGGCTGACTCTGTGACCCACTGAGTGCCGGCTTGCTGTGGCCAAGGCGCTGCCAGGACAGCAAGTGGTGGGACTGGGACCAGGTGTCCGAGGCTCTGGGGTGAAGGGTTACCACCGGGCTTTCTTGAACTGTGCTATGGGTGGAAGGGCCAACATCCTCATCTGCACCATTCCCAGGCCTTCGACAGGGGGGTCCAGGCTGCCAGAGTCCTCAGTGTCCCTGGTGACCAGTGGCCCCGGGGCTCCACCTGGGAGCAGCTCCACTTGCCTCTATTGAAAGGTCGCCTTGGGAAGCCTGGGTGGAACGGGACGGGAATCCAGGAGAGAGAAACTCTCAGCAGGTCTCTGTAGTGCCTGGTGTTGCATTCACAGAGCAGGAGCTCGGGCCCAGAGAGCACGGGACGGGGTGGACCAGGCACTGACAGGTGCAGAGCCGGACCTCCCTGCTGGTCTGGGGCGCATTTGTGTTGAGCCCAACGCTGACCACGTCAGCCTGTCCTTCAGTCCCGCCTCCTGGGGCTGTCAGCTCCACAGTGGGCTTGTGGGACCCCGGGGAGGGCGAGGACCCTGAACAGAGAGGCGAGGACTCCTGCCCCAGGGGACCTGACCCGCTCTGGAGCTGGGTTCTGAGTTCCAGCCTGCCCCTGTGGGTGCCACCGGGACCCTCCCACGTTTCTGTCCTGTACCTGGGGCTGCTCTGGGAGGCCTGAACTGGCTGTGGGACCGCTTCCTGGGCCACGGCGCACAGTGGGTGCTGCCAGCCTCACACCTGCCCCCTGGCCCGTTGGCCGCAGCTGGCCTTGACGAGTGTTGCTGGAATCCCTCTGCTCTCAGATCTCCGAGGGCACAGGACACAGCTGGCAAAGGGTTAAGCTGCCCATGTCCCTGCTGGTGAGCAGGGTACAGTCTGGATGTGAGAGGCCCCTCCCCAGAAGGCAGCGCCCTTTCTGACTGTGGCCACTGGCTATATAAGGTCCCACACCCCTGTACCTCCACAGGACCCACCTGGCCCGGGAGTGTCTCTGGCGGGATCAGCAGGTGAGGGGCTGCAGGGCTGGGGCTGAGCCTGGGGGAAGCTGAGACCCAGGATGGGCACCCAGGGCCGGCTCAGGTCCTGTCCAGCTGGGCCCAGACTGGTGGTTTCATGGCTTGTGCTCTGGCCTCATGCTCTGCTTTTACCAGCTCAGAAGAGTGGGAGCTGGAGGCATGGGAGGGTGTGGGCTGGGATGTGGTTTTTCTGTCATTAACTGTGCCCTGTGTGCCACCTTGTATGCCATCCATGTGTGCTGTTCATGTGTGCCACCTGTGCTGTCCATGTGTTCTACCTATGTGTGCTACCCATGTGTGCTGTCTGTGTGTGCCATGTGTGCCACCTGTGTGTGTTTCCCATGTGTGTGTATGTGTTTGTATGTCTGTGTGTGCCATCTCTATGGGCGGCCCTGTGGGTGCTGCATCCTCACAGCCCCTGAGCCCCACGCCCCTGTGTGGGAGACGCCAGCCTGCGTCATGGTAGGGCCCTGCCGGGTTGTGGGAGAGCTCGGTGATGCAGTTGGTGGTGGGAAGGCGCTCTGCTCACTACACAGGGCTCTGACGTGATCTGCAGCGTCACGCACTGCTCGCCCATGGGGTGGCTGTCAGGGTCCTGGGTCCCCCACCACGGTCACCTTGGCTCTGCGTATTGGCCGTGTGCCCTGGGCCGAGTGTGGCCCCCGGGCCTCTGAGGATGAGGCTGATCAGCAGGTGCACACCTGGGGGACACGCCCTGTGCCCTCTGTAGGCTGGGAGCCCACTCAGCGTGCTCAGGTCTCCTGCACCCAGACGAGGCTGCAGAGGCCTGGAGTGGGGCCAGCTCAGAGGGCCAGGGCATGGCCTGGCCACAGACTGACCACGCGTGCTGTGCCCTCTCCAGGATCCCCATGAGGCAGGGTTTCCTGTAGGGGACAAAGGGCACCTCCTGCTGATGGGCTGGGCCTTTCCTCTGCCCTAACCCTCAGCGAGTCAGGGTCACGGTGCAGTAGGAGCAGCAGGTGTGTGGCTGTGTGCGATGTGTAGGGCACATGTGTGTGGTGTGTGGTGTGTGTGTGGATGGATGTAGCATGTGTGGATGTGGCATGCAGTGTGTTGTATGTGTGTGGTGATTGTGTTATGTGTTGGGTGTTTGGTATAGCATGTATATATGTATGGTGTGTGATGTGTGCATGGCATGATGTGTGTTGTGTGTGGTTCAGCATGTGTGTTGTGTTTGTGGTGTAGTGTGGCATGTGTATGTGTGGTATATGTGGCATGTGTGTGATGTGATCTGTTTGTTGTAGCATATGTGGCATGTTTGTATGATGTGCACATGCAGCCTGTATGTGTATTTGCATGTGCTAAGTGTGCTGTGGTGTCCATCTGTTTGGGGTGTTGTTTGATGTGA